CATCATGGGTTAGGGCTAGGCTCACCCACTGTGCTTTGGGCCATGTGGTTCGGTCTCTATATTAACGGCCAGTTCACCTGGCCCCTGATCGATGGATCAAGGAACAAAAGCTAGTCGGACCCCCGGATTGTCCCACTGTCCTCTTCAACTTGAGCATTGCTCGTCCCACGATGCTTGTGGGCATGCTCCATCGATAAAGGACCTGGATATGTCGGACCTCGTCGGTCTACCGCCAAAAGGCACCGACCTCACAGCCAACAATGAATCCAAAAATGACGCCATCGTCGCGACAATGTACACTTTGGCTTGCATCACAATCAGTGTCCGGTTGTTCTCTCGGACAAAGGTGCAGCAGGCTCGCATAGGCTTGGATGATTGGCTGATCGTCGCAGCGCTGGTACAATCCCAATGTTTTCTACTTACTTGCTCTCCACTGATGACTTGACATAGCTCTCTGGAACAGCAAATATGATTAGTGCTGTAGTGGGTTAGTGGCTTTCATGTCTTCTCATGTGATCATATGCTAACTATACGTAGGAGGAAAATACGGCGTCGGCAAGCACATCTGGGTAGTAAACATGGACGATATCGTCGCCATGGTGAAGGTCAGCAATGTTTCCTGCCGCATAAATGAAATAAATGACTGACTTGGAAACATTACTTAGGTTCTGTTCGCCAATGTCCTCCTATACGTGACCACTGTCACGCTCATCAAACTCTCGATTATCCTGTCCTACCGGCGCATCTTCGGCATGAGGTGGACCATGTGGGCTTGTATAGTCCTAGCTCTGAGTTACTGGGTCGGCTGCACCATTGCGTTCCTGGCGGCCTGTCAACCTGTCTCTTACTACTGGACCAAATACCTGGACCCGGAAGGGGGCAGAGAGAGATACAATCTATACGCATTCTACATTGGTCACGCAGTCGCAAACATGGTCGGTGATATAGTCATCTTGCTGGTGCCTGTTCCTCTGGTCTGGAGACTTCAGCTGCGGCGATCGCAGAAGATCCAGATCTTAAGTATCTTCCTCCTAGGCGGATTGTAAGTCTTTGCTTCTTCCACTGCCATGCCTTTCGACAGAGTGTAACTGACGGTTTACCCATCTGACAGCGTCTGTGTGGCGAGTGCGATCCGGATCTACTACTTCACATTCGTCAACAGCGTCGATGTGACCTGGATTCTGGGCGATGTCTTCATCTGGTCGAGCATTGAGCCCTCCATCGGCATTTTCTGCGCTTGTCTTCCCGTTCTACAACCACTCTTCCGAACCATCCTTAATCGCATGCTGGGCACACCTGCTCCCGTCAAGCCCAAGCCACGCAGCACTGGCCCACCTAAAGCCGTCCGGTACGCGCCCAACATCCTCAGCAAGATCCAAGGTGGAGATGAGAGGATCGCTCGTCGCGACGAGGAAGCCATGCTAACGACGACATCGGCGCATTTTGAGCTCGACAGTATAGGGAAAGGCCGCCATAGCGATGAGGAGGCCGGCCCTATGGATCTTCTGTCTATCACGATACAGAAGGAATTTCATGTCCGGGAAGAGCATCGCTAAGGCTGGTATGATCACAAAAGCGCAATTATAGAGAGGGAGATGGCCAAGCACTTGGTCAAGATCCCGTTGTTATTCTTGTTGAGTATTTACTGTACATAATGTTTACTTTTGCACAAGGCTGGCGTTTTCTTTTGCGGCATCGGAGTATGTGTGGACAGCGGAGGTTCGGTCTGTGAAGCTCTCATTCAGTTAGACATGTACAAAAACAATCATGACTTAATTTTTTTTTTCAAGGACGCGATTCTCACATTCACTTGCAAACAGGTAGTTCTCTTTTCATTTTGTTTTGGTGTTGTATTACTCAGTAACCGGGAGGGGAGTGAGCTGACAGTTTGACAAGGAACAGAGTCTCACCAAAAGGAAGAAGCAACAAGGGACCTAGTAGTATCTGCAGGTCGTCTGCACATCGGCCCGAAATCCGATTCGGCTTTGAGGGTCCCCGACTGGGTTCGGCATGCCGACATGCACGTTTCCAGTGGGGTCTATGCAAGTCAACTGCCACGAGGTGAATACTCATACTTTGGCCTACTATACCCAATCTGGCCGTGTTTATCCCATAAGCGAGCAGTCGTTACATAGTAGGGCGAAACATAGATGTAGTGAGCTTTACACACCTTTCTTGTCCATTTCATCTTCCTGTCATTTTCTCCTGGTGTTTTGAACTTCATCTGTGCAGCTCTTCTCACCTGTCTCCCTTACCGTCTACCATCATATCCCCAGTGAAGCTACAAACAGTCTATCTTCGCCGCACCAAGCCACTTCCATATCACTTTTCTTTTACATAGCCCTGCTTCCTTCTCTCGAGTCTTTCCAAAAGGTCAAGCCCAAGGATATCACCTTCATCTCACCCAACCCTCCCAACAAGCAGAGTTAACCCTCACTACAGATCGGAACATCCCCTCAGCCCTCATCCTCCCCTCACTCTCAGGGCATCCAAAAGCCACTCCCCCGCCACCAACTCGAACCACAGGTAGCCATGGACCCCCGGGGCCAAGCGTCGCTCGTCGAAATAGCCCGTAAGTCTCGAAGGGGACTGGACAGACTGGCCGCTCGCTTCGCACATCGCGCCCCACACGCCTTCCATGTCCACCGGGTGCAGTTCGCGGCCTGGCTGGAGCACTGGAGCGTGTTGGAGACCGACCGGGTGGACATGACGTTGGACTACCAGGTGCGCAACAAGCTCGAGGCGGGAAGTGGGCTGTACAGCGATTTGTGGTTGATGCTGTCAACGATTTCCTCTTGTGAGTTCCTTCCTAACCTTGACCGGAAGGTTTCATATGTGAAGGTTTTGAGAGATAGGAGGGTTGTGCTAATTGCGGCATGGGCTCAGGTCGGTTCAAGTTGAGGAAGGCTTTGAAAACCGTTGAGAATGTTGAGGCTTTGGAGGTTGCTGTTGTTGGTGCTGCCATCGCTGCTATGGGAGTAGATGATGGCTGGTATTCTTCCGATTCATCAGAGGCAGCCGACCTGGACGCCGAGTTCGCTGAACCGCCACCTCACAGGGACTGTGAGGACCCTTTCACCAACCTCCTGAAGCTCTGCCGCTACGAGCTCTGGCATGTGATCCGGACGCTGGACCGGAAAACGGCTCTCTTCGCCCAATCCAGCATGTATGCGCCGAGTGACCTGCTGGTCCACCACGCCAACTACATCGTCTGCGACGAATGGGATCGGGAGGTCACCGAAAGGTTCGAGGCGATGGTCTGCCGCGCCCTCCGCTACCGCTGCAAGGTCCATAACAAGGTGCTCCAGGCCCGACTGGGGAAGATGGTCTGCGACCGTCGCAGGGCGTTGAACTACCACAGTCGCGCCCTGGATGACGCCCCCATGCACATCCCCAGGCAGAACCTGAACCCCGTCACCTTCGTGTTGGCCATGCGGGACGCAGCACAGGAAGAGCATCCCCCTCCTCCCCCTCTCGCCCCGGGCCAGGAAGAGTTCGAGTGTCCGTACTGCCGCTTCAAGCTGCCAGCGGCTCGATACGCCTCGCATGATGCATGGAGGTGAGTTTCTTTCCCCTTCGCCCCTTCCCCCAAGTCCATCTTACCTTGACCTTGCTAACACCCCGCGGCAAAATCAAGAAAACACGTCCTCACCGACCTCGAGCCCTACATCTGCATCTTCGACGCCTGCACCGAGGAAACCAACACCTTCCGCACCCCACAGCAATGGCTCTACCACATGAAACTCCACCACTCATCGACCTGGATCTGCCGCGTGCCCCGCTGCCGCAACCGCACCTTCTACCGACAAATCGCCTTCGAGCAACACGGCATCAACGCCCACGGCTACACCTCCGACTCCCTGAGGACCATCTGCCACGAGTCCCGCCGCCCCTACCCAGCCATCTTCCACCGCTGCCCCTTCTGCGGCCCGCGGCCCGACCAAGACCCCCCCCGCGACGACGACGCCTACCTCGACAACCCGGCCGCCCACCACGCCGCCCACCGACTGTACCACCACGTCGCCCGCCACCTGGAGGAGTTCGCCCTCATGGCCATCCCTTACACCTCGAGTGAGCCGGTCGTCTACCCCACACCTCCCGCCGGCGGCGGCGGCGGCGGTGGTGGTGGTGGTGGTGGTGGCAGATACAGCCGCCACATCCTGCCCATCCCGCGGGTGGAGGACCACGGCAACTGGGAGTGGATCTTCGACGAGAACCTCCCCGCGTACATGTACCGCCGCGACGTGTATCCGGGCTCGTCGCGGTCGTCGGTGTCGGCGGCGTCGACGCCGTACTATCGGCCCTCGACGCCCGTGCACGGCCCGGATATCTCGGAGTTGGTGGATGTGGTGGAGAGTGAGGATGCGGATGTGTCGATCTATGAGGACGCGGAGTTGTTTGAGGGGGACGAGGATGGGTACTTGGACGGGTATGATGAGTTTGTTGCTGGGTATGCGGGGGCACGCGGGTTGACTGGATGGGACGGGGAGAGTTGAGGAGATGGGGTGTTTTGAGAGGGAGAAGTATCTGAGTGGGAGATTGGCTTTGAGGAACCGGAGATTTGAGGGAAGGTGGTGGTGGCGGGTTTGTCAAGTGTAAATGATCTACGATACCCTGTAAAGAGTACATACTCGTTTTGTCTGCAATTTTCGATTCGATGCTGTTTGTTGATTAGTTGAATTTTACGTGATCGATTCTCTGCAGTGTCTGGAGGTAATTGCCCCAGTTGCCTACCGTACAAACTTCCTTCCCTACCCCTTTTTCCTGCACGCATGTACAATAAAAACCCAGTACTAATGCAGGTCTGCAGCCCGCGGCCATGTGGGGAGGATGGTTGTGGCTGGGGAACGGGGGCTGAAGACACCCAGGGTCAACCCGACTGGTCCATTACAATCATTGACTTTGACTGAGGAAATAACTGGAGGGATTGGGTTCGGATGGGCAGGGAGATCTTAGCCTGTGAACGGGTTACGTTGTACACGTAGCTCTAAGTGGCGAAGCACTAAGACAAGAATCATGGATGATATGGAAATATGGAATCTAACTCTAAGCACAAGGAAAACAATCTATCAACGTGATATGCAACTTAAACTAATTTCACAATATGTGGCAGACCGTATATGCAGGAGAAACAAATTTCACAATATGTGGCAGGCAGTATATGAAGGAGATAAAAACGGCCATCCCTGGACACCCTTCATGTAAATGCAACCTCAAGCCGCACCAAGTACCGAAATAACCCCCTCGATCTCACCCGCAATCTCCGTCATCAGACTATGCACCTCTTCTTCATCCAGAATGCCCCCCTCGACCCGCACACCAAATCCAATCGAGTCAGTCTTGGAATCAGGGCCAATATCGATATACACATTCTCGTCAGGAAGGAAGGACGTGTCCAAAGCCGCCACCGACGTTGCCGTCTCGGCCAGCGGCTCCGATGGGATGAAGTCCGTCGGGACGCCGATCTGCAACGGCAAGAACAGCTCGCCGCTCTCGTCTACGTCCGCGTCCGGTGCGGTGTCATTGGCGGACGGGACAGCGTTCTGCATCCAAAGCAGGTTCACCCAGGTGTTGAATAGATGGCCGCCGGTCTGCTGGGTGCTGGACCACGAGAGCACGTCTCGGAGCGAGCTCTGCTCGTACGACACACGTTCTGCGAGGGCCGACTGGATGGCTCGTGCCTGCTCGGCAAGAGCATCAGCCGGAGAGGCGTCCTCGCCTGGCGCGACCTCGGGAACGCGGAATGGATTCACATTGAGACATGGGCCGGATAATCTGTCGATGTTGTCGAAGGACGCAGAACGGCCAGTCTGGTAAAGACCCATCGTAGGGGACGACACCCCGGTGAGTCGAGCGATGCTGCGAGAGACCGCGAGGAGAACCACCGTCTGCAGGCTGATGCCTGCTGCCCGACAGCTGCTTTCCAATTTCGACAAGCCCTTGATATTTTCCCAGGCACCAACGAATAGCTGCTCGGGCACCTCGCCTCCGCTGCTGTGGGATTTCTTGATCAGAGTAGGGGTGGCTGACCCCACAGCTGACGACCAGTATCGCTTTTCATCGAGCTCACGGAGAGAGCCAAGCGAGAAATCCACGAAGGCCGGGAAGTCAGGGTTGCTGTCGAGCTCCTGACCACGGTAAAGCTGGGCAAGCTCAGTCACAAACATTGGCATGGTCCACGCATCGTACGCAGCGTGGTTGATCAGCACGAGAATACCATCACGATCACTGGCTTTCAAGAGCCGCAGACGAACAGGAGGCGTGGACAGGGAGGACGGAAGCAGCGCCTCTTCCCTGGCTTGAACCTTGGCAGCTTCCGTGATAGGGCAGGAAAATTCAATGACCTTGAACTTGCTTGTGTCACGCATCGCTTGCTTCAGGACAACCTGTACGGCGTTTGTGGCAGAGGTCGCTGCAAAGCACGTCCGCAGTATGGGATGTCTCTGCTGCAGTTGAAACCAAGCCTCCTCTAGCCGTGCGGCATCAACACGCTCGGAGCAAAAGTACGGCCAGGCAGGTTCAAACAACTTTCTTCCGGACTTGAGCCAGCTGGCAAGGTGATAATACTGTCCACCGAGGCACGGAAGGATCGCTTCGACCGAACTCTTCTCCAGACTAAGTTGCTGGAGGACACCCTCCTCGACCTGCTCGTAATTCTCAATGAGGGATCCCCGTGACTGCGTGCGATCCTCAGAGACGGACTGAATCCGTTGACTGATACCGCGAAGAGTGTTTCCTTGCAGTATGTCGGCAACGCCAGTTCTAAGTCCCTTTGCGCGACAAAGAGAGGCGATACGAATGGCTGACAGGGAGTCCAACCCGATGCTAAAGATGCTAGTGTCCGGTTTGATATTGGACACGGTAACACCAGCCACCTCTGCAAGTATTGATCGGACTATGTCCTCAAGCACAGGCTTAGCGGAATCTCCGACCTCATCATCCCGCGACTCATCCCGAGACAATTTCATGGGAAGATCACCAAGGCCATCGGGCACAATTGTGGCACACCTCGTGGGGTGTTCGACGATGTCACTGATGATTGCAGCATACTCATCCAGGAGCTTGTCAAGCGCATTCTGGCTGAAGTATTTTCCACTGCAGGCAGCATTGACCACAAGACCATGGCTTGCATGATCCACCTCGATGTTCAGTTTGTACTCAGCCTGCGCGGTGTAGTCGTCAACCTCATACGGGGTCCAGATCGTCTGCTCACTGATAACACTGCCGGTAAAGTCCGCACTCTTCTGGAAGACAAAAAGAGTATCAAACAACGATGCCGAGGTAAGAGCATTGGACCGTCTGAGCGAATTTTGCACCGTCCGCAAAGGCGCATTCTGGTGCATCTGTGCATCAGTTGTCATTTGTTGCAGGCGAAGAGCCATTGCCTTGTTGCTTAGAAACCTTGGCTCGAAACTGACTCTCTGGGCGACAGTGTTGAAGAGCGGTCCCAGGGTCTTCTCAGCTCCGGCCACTGACAGCGATCGCCCCGCCAGGACTTGTCCAAATACCACATCACGCTTCCCCATAAGATGAGCCAGCAATTTGGCGTAGGCCAAGAGACAGACGCTCTGAACCGTAACCTCCATTGCTTTACAAGCCTCAATCACTGTAGATAAATCGGCATCCAATAAGCGCTCGGAAGTGTACACACAGTCGGCAGATTCAGAGGTAGGAAGCAAGGGAAGTTCAGAGATCTCATATCCCTGTAATCTTAGGGTCCAGAACTTGGACGACTCGTCTTGTCCTTTCAGAATATGCTTGACTGTTTCCGAGAAGTTCGGTCTCTCCGGGGCCGGATCACCATTGTAAATTATCGCCAAATCTTCAAAGAAGAACGGGATAGAAGCACCATCATAGAGCGCATGGTGCAAGACAGTCACAAGGACCCTCCCCTCCGGTTGGCTGACCAAGAAATTCTTGAGAGGAGGAGTTTCAAAGCTAGATTCTTCCCGAAAAGAGTACATAGCCGCAATCTCTGACAGGACGTTCGCGTCAGAGGGTAGGGTGATCTCTGTCCATTCGAGTGGTGGTTTGCTATGGACAGCACCAATCCAGGAAGTCCCGAGCTGTTGTATCTGGTGGAATGAGGTGCGCAGGATATCATTTCGCTCAATGACCTGGGCCAGGGCCTCTTTGAGACAAGTGATGTCAACGGTATCGGCAAGCCTGACGGGATGGGGGTAGACATAGACCTGCCCGTCGGTGGCTAGGGTTTGAGTGAGCATTCCCGACTGCAAAGGCGTAGTCTCGAACATCGCAGTGATAGAATCCTCCTTACCCAGAAGGCGGGCGTATTGACCGTAGACTGCAACATCAATTTTGTCACCTTCAACGCTTTCTGAGTCCTGATCTGGGACTCCATTGCTGGTAACGTCATCGACGTACTTGGCAAGTGCGCCTATGCAGGAATATCGCATCACGTCAGACGAAGAGACGCTCAATCCCACATCGCGAAGTCTACGGGAGAATTGGATCGCCGTGACCGAGTCGATACCTAGACTCAGGAACGATGCACCCTTCGTGATGTCCCCTATGGCCAGTCCACAGAAGTCCGCAGTGTGCTCTCGAATCTGGGTTTCAATGGATGACCAGTTGGAGTTGTCCCATGCAACAATGGGAGACTGTGTGCCCGGTGTTGAGGGCCGGGATAAGTTAAAATTGGCCAAAGAAAGACCGTCGCCAGACACCACACTCGAGATCACGGCCTCCATCTTCTCCAAAAATACCTCCGCATCGTAGGAAGATCCGAACGACGACGAGAAGTTGCAGTGTAGTTCGATCATGTCCGTTGCATGGTTCGCCTCGACTTCAACTGCCAAGGGGTATTCTGCAGGCATGTGGCTGTCCAACTCCTGCCATAAGCAGTGTTTTGGGGAAGGTGTGGTGCGGATGTATGAGAAAAGGCAGTCAAACAGCGGTGCGTCGGCTTCGATCCATCGCTGAATGTGTCTCAGCGGAGTGTGTTGGAATTCAAGAGAACGAATTGTAGACTTTTGCACATGTTCGATTACCTCGTCAACGGTTTCTAGTTCGGTGACACTAAGACGGCCTGGGACAGTGGTGATGCACGGTAGTAGAACGGACGAGGCGCCTGGTACAGACACGGCTCTGCCCGAAAGCACCAAACCGTATGTCACGTCGGGAGCTCCAACAGTATCCGCCAGAAGGAGCGCGAATACTGCTTGAACTAGGGATGGCACGGTGGTATGGAGGGCTGCGGAGCACCGCTCCAGTTCGCTAAGACTGTTGTGGAGCTTCCTGCTTCGCGAAGCAGAATCCTCCATGGCATCGGTATCTCTTCGGAAAGTTGTAGGGCGATAGCCCGCCAGAAACGAAACCCAATGCTCTCTTGTTTTGTCCAGATTCTGGGTGTATACATGCTCAATGAACTCTGACGGTGAGCCTCTCTGGGCCACTTCATCACCTGCATACCGGGCTGCAACATCCTCCATCAACATGAAGAAGGACTCGCCGTCGTAAAGTGCATGGTGAATATCGATGAATAATGCAAGAGGCTCATTGGTACCAGAGGACTTTGCAACTGAGAATCGTACAGGTGGAGATCTAGTCATGTTTGAGACTATTTCTCGAGAGATCTGGTCATGATTGTCCTCATGTCTCTTCATGCATTCGTCCAAGTTGTCGTACTCTTCTTCCATCCAGCAGATTTGATGGGCATCAGCTGCAAGTATCACCTGCACTATCTGCTTGTCGAAGGGAGCAAAAGCAGTTCTCAAAATCTCATTGTCATCGGCAACCGTTTGCCACGCAGTCTTTAGCATAAACAGATCAATAGATTGCTCAAGTTTCAGGATAATATGATTGACGTAAAGGTGGCGGCCTTCAACATTCATTGATCGTGCAACTAGACCTTCTTGGAGGGGTAAGCAAGGTCGAACAGCAGCCACGCGAGCTGGATCAATATCTGCAACAGGATGCTCCCTATACTCAGACTCGACTTGAGCAAATCGCCGACGAACAGTCGAGATGGCAGTCTCTGTCGCCGAAGAGGAACGTCTAGGCAAACGTGCAAGTTGCTCGACGAAAGGATTACTCATGACAAGAGCCACTGTAGCCTGATAGCCAATTCCCCTGAGCTTGATTGAGAGACCAATTGCGCTGAGACTATCCAAGCCAATCTCAAAAATGTTTGTCATTGGTCCAATTGATGTTGGATCTGCCGCAACAATTTCGCAGAGTTCTTTCACCACAGCCTGCTCATCGACAGATAAAGGCCGGTTACCAATGGTGCCGTCTTTGCCTGAGGCATTATTGCCTTGCAAAACAGTGGTAAGGGGGAGGTCGGAGAAGAGAGCAGCCAGTTCCTTGATGTTCGCTTTGCCGGACAGAGGCGCCAGCGGAATGTAAGTGATGGGAAGAATAAGCTCAGGCACCATGTAATTCGGTAGCTTTCTCTTGCACGCATCCTGCAGCTCTTTACCGAGCGTGGCGAATTCCGAGAACAGGAATGCGACATTTGCGTCTTGCCCACTTTTGTGGGCGTTGGATCGCGCGATAAAGGAGATTAGCTGCTGCCTTGAGAGGCCAGGGTGTTTTGCGACCGTCGTGACAACACTGATGTCAAGACTACAAGAGGAGCGAATAACCTCGGAGACCTCTCCAAGCTCTAGTCGTTGGCCACGAATCTTGGTCTGGTCATCGCCGCGGCCGAGGTACTCAACCGAGTCATCTGGCATCAAGCGTCCAATATCGCCAGTACGATACATCTTCTCCCCGTTTGGCCCGGTTACGAACCCAGTTGCATCAGGCCTGTTGAGATAGCCTTTTGCAACAAGGTCACCCGTGAAACAGAGTTCTCCTGTCTGGCCTCTGAGAGCGTATGTGAGTGTGCCAGGCATGAGGACGTGACCGACACAAGCACTTAGTGGAGGCCCAATATTACGTAGATTCGTCTCTTTGCCCACTGGAGCGAAAGTGCAGCCGATTGTTGCCTCGGTAGGACCGTATGCATTCACAAGAGCAAATCCTGGTGCCGAAGCCCATGTATCCAAAACTTTCTGCGATATCTTTTCGCCGCCAACAGTCATGTACTTCAGACTGGGGCATTGCGCAGGGACGATATTCGACTGATCCACCAAGGATGGAACAAGGCTGGCGTGCGTGATCTCCCATTTGGAGATCGTCAATCCGAGATCATTGAGAATCATAGCTCTGGGAGCTGTCACGGTCGCCATGCCATGTCTCCATGGGAAGAACATCTCCAGAAGGTGAGGATCAAAGGCACGGCTGGCTTGAGCAAGATATCTGCCCGTTCCCGCAAGCTCCAAAGTGACTGGGGCACGTCGGCAGGTGAATTCAGAAAAGGACTCGATGAATGACGAAAGATTGCCTCTGGTCACCATGACGCCTTTGGGTTTGCCTGTCGACCCAGAGGTATACAGTAGGTAGGCTAGATCATCGGGTTCAGACATGTAGTCCTTGTCCTCGGTTGGCATCCCTGTCAATGACTCAGAGAACTGAGGATCATCAAAGCACGTTATCTGGCAGATCTTCGGCACATTTCCGAAGGATGCAGCAAATGGTTTCTCGGTGAAGACGAGCGGGCAATTGCCATCCTCGATCAGGAAAGCTTTTCGATCAGCCGGGAGTCCGTCGTCAATCGGGAGATAAGTGTTTCCCGACTTGAAGATGCCAATGATGATGGGATACGAGATCAAATCTCGCTCGGAGCAAACCGCGATCATTCTGTTCTTGTGACCTAGTGAGGCGATGTAGGCAGCCACTCGATTCGCCTCGGCATTCAATGTACCATAGGTCATTGTCTCCTTCTCGATCCCGGACTCTGCTATTGTACTGGCAACCTCAACGGCAACCAATTCAGGATTCCTTGCAGCATGGACCTCAAGCCAATGCGTTGGGCTTAGCTGCACTGAGTTTGCCACTTCTTCACCAACCGGCTGATCCGAAATCGACCGCAGACTTTTCGAGAGATGGTTGACCAGACTTCCGAAAGACTCGTCAATCGATGAGAGCATTGAACTCACCAATCCATCAACTTGGCGGACAAAGACCGACAGCTGGGCTCGTGACATTATCCTGCTGTCTGAAGAAGCTTCTATATGAATCGTACCGTTGGAGCGCTGGAAAACATTGAACGCCATAGGGTGTTCGACGTGTAGGCCCACCTCATCATCCAATTCATGCCAGATGCTTGGCTCTATGTGCTCAATAGAGTCATCGGTGGCAATGTGGAAATTGAATACCGCAGGGTATAGCGCCTCGCCTCTCTGGCGGTTCAACAACTTTCGAACCTCGCGAGCATGAATATGACGGTACTTCCAGGACTGAACAGAGACTTGATGCTGATTGACAAGTATCTCCCGAACGCTTCCATTAGGGTGGAATGGAACGGGTACGACGGATATCAAGGGTCCAATGCTGTTCTCGAGGTCGGGGTGTAGAACACGATCAGAGAGCGTCTCAGCAAACACGGCTGCTGGAACTCCAAGGTAGCTCAATGATACATAACACCACGCTGCGCGAATGATGGACGCGATTGACGACAGTCCCAGTTCTACTGCAGTTGCCTGCAGCTTGGCGCTCAGCTCGGTCAAGGGAAGCCCTTCTGAAATCAACTCGTACACTGGGACCTCACCCGGTTGCATTCTCTTGCCAGTAAGATCGGGCCAAACAGGAGCATCTTGGTCAGAAAAGTTCTTCAGCTGCGATTCCCAGAATTGGCTAGTCTTCTTGATCCTCTTGTCGGTTGGAAGGATGAGTGCAAAGGCATCAATAAGCTGTACCCGCAAGGGCGGTTTGTAAGTATAAGCACATCGCACGTCATCCAACATGAGACCAAGTGAAGGCTCGTCATGTATAGAGTGATGGACTGTGAACATCATAATATGCTCGGCGCCGGTATCAAATATGGTGACAGCCCACGGTGGATGTCTGAAGTAGGCCTTCTGATGCGTGGACATAATATCATGCAATCTTTTGTCACGAAGCTCCGCCATATCAGATTCAGGGCATTGCAGAACCTTCCAGTTGAGGTCTGGAAGTTGGTAGACAATCTGCAATATAGATGAATCACAATAATCGGCCGTATTGGAGCCTGATTTTCCAATTTCAGCGACAGGAATAAATCCAGTCCTCAAAGCTTCGGTGCGTTGGCACGTAGCGAGCCAAGCTTGCTTCAACCTTGGGAGGTCCACCATGTCGTCCAAGAGAAAGAAGTGATTGCTCCAATACATGGAGTAAGTGCCCATTGTCTCACTAAGCAAACTTTCCTGTAATGGAGATGCTTTGAGGATCCTAAAGCTTTCTCCAATGTGATTCGCAGCGGCACTATGCCATGTTTCATTGAAATCGCTCACGTCGAACGATTCGGAGAATTCGGCTGGAGTTCCTTGACTTGCGTCAGAAACTAGCAGCATCAAATCCTGGACGGTCACGCAATTGAGAACGTCAACGACCGAAATTTGATGACCGGCTTCTTTCAGTCTAGAGGCCACCCGAATTGCGCGAATCGAATCGATGCCGAGGCTACCGAGCCGGCTGGACTTGGAGACAAGTGAGGTTGAAATGCCGGCCAATGAAGAAATTGTCTCAACTATGTGGGCAGCAACGGATGCGTCAACGGAATCATCGATAGTACCCAGCGAGCCATTGGCCAAGCTTGTTTCAGATTCCCAGCCATCGATGTCAACCGATGCATAGGCAGCTTGGAGTGCCCTGCGATCAGTCTTGGCTGAAGGAGTTTTCGGAATATGAGACACTACAAGGAAGACAGAAGGTATCATATGATCGGGCAGAACACGCAGAGCTTGTTCGCTGGCAGCTCGAGCTATTTCGACCGCGGATTGTCCCGATAATACCGTTTGATTCTGCTCTTCCATGGCTGCAGCTTTCGGCGCGGAGAGAAAGGCGACCACCACACTATTTGGCCTGTCCGGACGACTGAGAACAAGGGTCTCAATGCTCTCAACAAGTTCATGACATTCTCGCAGGGAGAAGCTTATCTCACTCAGCTCCACCCGAATACCGCCCAGCTTGACTAGATCATCGACGCGGTTGATGTACTCAAGAGAGCCATCGGCAAGCATTCGAACGAGGTCACCAGTATAGTAGACGATTTGTTGAGCTTCTTCGTTCCATACGTACTTCGCTTTCGTGACATCGTCCTGATTCAGATAGCCAGGCGAGAGCTGTGGACCGCCAAGTGCCAGCTCTCCGATGGCATTCTTCATGACCAGGCGCTGACCCTTGGTCACGAAGACCGAGACAGTCTCCATGGGCCAACCAATGTTCGCGCTTTTGACATTCTTATGTTCATTGCCGAACTCTCTGATGGTCGAGACGACTGTGACCTCGGCTGGTCCGTATGTGTTAAAAGCCCTCATATTGGTACCCCAGTCATCAGCCACGGACTGTGTCAGCTTTTCGCCAATCATGGTAATGACCTGTAATGTCTCACAGCTCTTCCGAGGTACTCCAGCTGAGAAAGCAGGGGTCAGATGCGCATGCGTTGCTTTGGTGACATTGGCGAGCCTTGAAAACGAGCCAAGCATGATATCTCTCGTAGCAGAAATGAGAACGCCACCAACACCCCAGGTATAAAAAATATCCTGAATTGATACATCGAAAGTGTAAGACGAAAATTGCAAGCATCTTACACCCCCCGGCACATCCGTAGGAATATCTTTCTGGAGCGTTCTCATACTAGACACAGCAGACGAGTGTTTGATCGGCACACCTTTGGGTGCGCCTGTTGTTCCACTGGTCCAGATCAAATATGCCATATCGTTGGAGTTGGCTGGAGATCCGACGATGGTGGAATTCGCTCCATTCGTTTCAGCTGATGTCTCCTCAACGAAACTATTCACATCTATGACCTGTACCCCGGCAGGAATCGAGCCGTCTGGCTGGGGTCCATCATGGTCAGAAACCAGTAAAGTGCCTGATGAAGTTCGTGCGATCAAGTCGTGACGGCGCTGTGCGGGAGACATGGTGTCGATTGGACACCAGGCGCCTCCAGCCTTGAGAATACCGAGGATCGCAACGTACATGGCAGGGCTCTTCTCGATGCAGATTGGAATCGGACGGTTGTTGAGCTCACCACTGATTCGGGTAAGATGCACTGCAAGTCTTTGGGCTATGTCGTTGAGCTTCCCGTAAGACCAGGTGATATTCCGCACGTCATTTTCATCATCCAGATTATGCTTGAAAATCAAAGCAGGGTCTTCAGGGTGTGATTGTGCGTGGTCCTCAAACTGCGATTGTAGGAGAGATCCTTTTTCTGCCTCCTCGATAATCCTAGATTGCGGATTGAAGCATGATTTCGAATTACAATTGGTCTTCATCGGGCCGTCGAGGAATCTCCCTTCTGGCTCATTGAGGATGAATTCGACGATGTCAGACATCTGTCCTAGCATCATCTTTGCCGAACTCAGATCAAGCTTGGACTCATCGAAACTGGCACGGAATGTCAAGGAGGAGTCGGAACATGGCCACACCTCAATCATAACTGTAAAGTCATTCGCCATGGGCGGGTGATGGATTGAGCTCCAGATACCACTTGCATTGGAGCCTGCGCTAAAATCTTGATACGCTATCAGTGTATCGTATGGAAGTCTTCCTTCCGCCGTAACGAGCGATCCCAAGCCAGGTTGCAGATGAGACAGAGCGCCTGCATTGAGCTTTGTTAGGCATTGGGTGATGGCGCGATTTGTGCAGGTGTCAGCTGAGTTGGTCTGCGAGTTCTCAAGAGTGAGTCTGATCGGAACAGTAGTGAATGTCGGGCCAATGCAGGTTTCCGAGACAACGTCAAGTCGGCCTGAGATAACGCTGCCCATCACAACATCCCGATCAGGCGTACCACTGTAAGCTAACAAGATCGATCCCCAGGCTGCCTGAAGTACGGAAAGAGGACTTGATCCAATAACTTTGGATCTCTTCTTGAGGGTATCATGACGGATATTGGCTGTAATCTCCGCGCAGCCGGTGGTTTTGACTGTAGATGGTCGGTATGAGGTCAAGGATGGGAACGGAACAGGAGATTGTTGTGCTAAATGCCTGTTCCAGAAATCGGAGGTTGCGGCCTGATCTGATTGAAAGTGATGCTTCACAACATGCTCAATTGAAGTTCGTTGCTTGCCTGGCTTGCCATAGTAGATAGAAGTTACATCTTCAAGCAAGAGCTGCAGTGAGCCACCGTCGAAGATTCCGTGGAACATGCTCAGAACAATCTGGCTCCCCGTGTGACTACTGACCAGAGACAACCTAAAAGGTGGTTTGCTAAGATCAATGGCCTCCTCCGCATCGCGGAGTGCAGTTTGAAGAGCCGCCTCGTTCGAGACAGTCTCGGCTACTTGATAGACAGCCCAATCAGCGTGAGGCACTGCTTCAGGAGCAAGAATGCATTGGGCAAATGGCGCCATATCATCGTCAACCCAACAAAATACTGTGCGAAAAGAATCATAGCTGGCAAGAACCGTATCCCAAGCCCTCTGGATCTTGGGAAGGTCGACATCAGGTTCAAGCCGCAGGACAGTATGGTAGATGTACGAGCGAGCCGCAGATGTCTTATCAGATGAACTACGCAGAAAACTGGTTAGCATGCCTGATTGCGTTGCTGTTGTCGGAAGAACTCTCGCAACTTGACTCTGCATCAAGTTTAGTCTTGCTGCACATATGAGTGCATTTCGTTGACTGAATTCCTGAAGCTTCTGATGGAGCGAGTCGTGGATTTCATCGGTATCTGCCTTCTCCGCCAGCTGACGACGCTGGAAGACGAGTGAAACCAGAGCTTCCGGTGTCGGCGACTGCAACACATCGCCGACAGACAGACCATCAATAGCATGGTCCCGTAACCGCTGCAGAAGTCGCATCGCGCCGAGACTGTCAATTCCGAGGGAATACAGACCAGCTTCAGGCGTGACAGCAGCGACATCCTCGTCTGTTGTCTGAGCGATGAGTTCAATCACAAGCTGTTGTACAGACAACACATTCTCGTCCTCCGGAATTTCCCACTGATGATGTACACCATTCGTAGTGTCTGGAACAGTCTTCTGTGGGGTGTACAGTTGAACACCACTCTTGCCTGGTTCTCGAAGCTGAGCCGAGATTGCTTTGCGGTCAACCTTGCCGGAGCTCGACCGTGGGAGGCTAGGAAAGAAAGCATATGTGGAGGGGCACATATAATTGGACAGGTACTGCTGCGCTTTGGGGTGTGCCTCATTTGCTATCGTCTGTTTCTCGACAGCACTCGCGTCGCTGTTGTTGACAACGAGACACGCCACTATTTGCTCACTTCCCTGTACATCGAAGTCGCGGTTGAGTACCACGGCCACAGCTTCTGTCACTCCAGGGATTGTCGACAGAACCGACTCAATCTCGCCAAGTTCAAGCCGGCGGCCGCTGATTTTCACCTGATCTGAGGTTATCCGACCGAGAAACTCAATCACTGGAGAGTCGAATTCGTCCCAGACGATGCGCGCCATGTCCCCAGTACGATACAAGTACCCGAACTCTGCGCTGTTCACAAAGGCCTTCGCAGTTTCCTTCGGGCGGTTCAGATATCCCTTGCTGACTTGCGGACCTCCTATTGCCAGCTCACCAGCAAGACCCGCTGCGACTGGTCTTGGTTCGTGATTGTTGGGATCTAGGACAAACATCGCGCAAGTCGGAAGCGCTTTGCCAATAATTGAGCCCCGAACCGAGCGACCAACTGGTGCCAGATAGGTACAATTAATGGCGGCCTCAGTGGGTCCATATGCGTTTACCAACATTCTATGCGGTTCATCGAGTGATGTAGTTGAGAAATTTGCAATGACTGTCCTATTGAGCTTCTCGCCCATCGTCCAGAGAGATTGGAGTGTATTCAACCGAGATGGTCGCAAGAGTGCAGCCAAGCTCGGCGTAGCCATCATGATGGTCGCCCTTGCTTCGTTTATGGTGGCTTCGAGATCAGTCAATGTCAGGCTCCGATCGGCGGAGCAGAGAGTAGCTCCGGTGCTCAAGGTGACGAAAATCTCCATGAGGGACGGGTCGAACGTGGGAGAGGCAAATTGAAACCAGCGGAAGTCGCCTTCAAAATCACCAGGGAGCGGGATAGCCGTAGCATGGGACTCTATTGAGCAGGTGACTGCAAGATGGCTTACTTGCACACCTTTCGGCTTCCCAGTGGAGCCACTGGTAAAGAGAAGATAAGCGATTTGGTCATCCTGGATATCCACTTTCTCAAGGACACTCTCAGCTTGCGAGGATTGAGCACGATTTATCAGCTCCTCCCATCTGGAAACGTCCTTTACGTTGACCCATACGGGCATGCGCTCATCTTCACCACGCTCATCAGTAGACCAAGGCCCCGAAGATGGCTCGGGTATATTACCCAGAATGATAGGACAGTCTATGTCCTGAAGAATTTCGCGAATCCTATCCACAGGAGCATCCTGTGGAATAGGCGAAAATGCAAATCCGGCTTTCAATACGCCAAGGTATGAGATGTACAGTTCGGGCGATGTCGTCATGTACACCGGGATAATCCGCCCACGATCAGCAGCATCGCGGGCCGCCAGCAGGCCCCTGATATGTACAGCTAGATTAGTGGCTGCTTGATCGAGGTCAGAATAAGTGAGAATGCTGTGCTTTGCAGAACAAGTTGCAGAAGGCAAAGAATGAACGAAATCGAGGGCTATGGCATCAGGCTTTGTCCGGGCCCAGCCCTCGAACGCAGCGTGGAGAAGATGTTGTTGGGGTATCGTAGAATCAGTCAATTCATTCCAATCATGGCGTCGTGAAGGGGGTATCATAGATGGAGGAAAATTCATAACAGAAAGCTCGGGGAGGGAGGCCTCGAAGGCCAATGACGAAGACGAATCCGCCAAGTGAGCGGCAATGGTCCTGAGCATCGGATCCACTGCAACGACGGGGATCAGTCGGTCGGGATAGCTAAAGCAGATCTGGATGCTAGTAGCGGTGGTGGAAGGCCCCACGTATAGCGTGAAATTCTGCCGGTCGATCAGTAAGGCGCTGTGGCGACAGTCAAAGAGAAGTAACGGGGAACCCACGTTTGCAGTACCCTTGAAAAGAGGGTGTTGCTCGCCATTTTCAGGTTCTTCGCAGAATCCCAAAGCCAGACAGAAGTGGACTTCATCAGCATTATAATACTGTTCGTCCACCTCTTCGATGGTGCAGTGCTGGCCATCGGCTTCCCGAAGTACAGAAGCACAGACCACACCGCGCTCTTTCTCTGGACCAGAGATGGTGGTTGCATGACGGGCGACAAGGAATGCGATCTCTTCCAGACCTGTGAAGCTCGAGACAAAGCGAGCGTATCCTTGAACGAGGTCACTTGCAACAGCTTGGAGATTGGTATCGCAAGCAAGCTCGATGCGGGGGCTCAGGACTACTGAGCTCTGCGAAAAATCGTGCACTGTGTACTGATCGACTGTGTCCAGAGCAGGAAGCTTGGTAGTTGGGATAGGAACAAGAGTCATGGCTGAATCAAGGACATTGTGTGTTGCAGAGGTTGGTGTCAATGAGGCGTTGTGCCCCTCATCTTGCGGAAGGGCGGTTGCCATTGATTTGAAATGTCCGAAGCGGGGTACAAGTCACGCACCTACAGATGATGACCGCGACGCCGACTTTGCTCGACAGCAGGAGAGATAACTCTTGAGATGGTGAAAAATGATGGTTATGGATCACAGGGGGCCACAGCAAAAGGTAGTTATAATTTACTATTGCTGCACGGTACGTACTTTGCTCACGCAGGAACTTCCAAGGATATGCATGGATGGTGTCTGGTCAGCATGACTTGCAGTGGATCCAGACGGGTGCCACGCGAAGTCATTGGGCATTGATCACATTTTCCAAAAGGTTGTGAAGTGAAAGTGGGGGGACAAGATTTCAGGATTATCCAATCTGTTGCAACCGAATTCGAGAGTGATTATTTCGAAGTAAGCAGATTGGTAGATGGTGCTAGATGAGCTCGGGGGTTTGAGCGCATGATTTTTCTCACTCTTCCCTGATCCCGGTAAGGCTCCGTGGCAGACGCGCGCATCGCGCCACGGGCCTCGGCCTCAGGCCACCGTAAGGCCAACAACCGCCCGGCCAGCCTTCCGCTTCGGCCTGAGGTTTCTCCGATCCTCGGCACAATGCTTATCTGATTAGATCATCTGATAAGATTCTGCATGCTGGGCTGTCCGACTGTCCGAGTGTTGTTGCATTTCTGACGCGAGTATGAGTTGCGAATCTCTGCAACGCAAGTTACGTAGAAAGCTTTAGGCTCTTGATGTTGTTTAAAGCATGATCTCTGTCTTCAAATCTATGATTATGCCCGTTTACCACACCTGTAATCCAATGGTTCAAGCGGGTCTCTTTGACTAATCAGTATAGGCGAAAAGTCTGCTAAATCCTTGTACTGACTGAAAAGGTAACATGCTGAGTGTGGCTTACTGTAATATTCTGTTGGAACTAAGGATAGATAGAACTAAAATTAGAAGATCCCCCGCAGTCTTCAAGTTACTGCCCTTCGTCATAAATCTTCTCAATAAAAGCTTGTGCTTGTAATTATATCTGAAGTATGGATCCTTGAATCGGTAAACGCTAAGATTAGTAGTCTATGCTTCCTTATACTTGAGCGATAAAGGTTCTGTAGCATCAATTTGCAGTTGAATGGCTCCGCAAAAAGACGTGTATTCCGTAGTCTGTAGTCAGTATATATTCACTGGCATAGTGCTTCGGTCTTGCAATGTAGGGCACAATCATTAAATCGTTTATTAACCCCACAACCCTCTAGGCAGAACTGGTATAAGGGTGCTTTGTAAGAGGTATGACACCAGCCTTACGTTGGCACTCGGAAGTGGTAGGAATTGTGCAGTTGATGAGCAGTCAGAAAACCCCTCACTCCCGACCGGTGAGGGACGGATCAGATAAACGGAACCGGAATCAGAGAGGTTTGTGTCTTTGTGAATGTGGGATCCACTTAACCAACTGCTTAGAGGATTGATTGGCCGTGTCTCGGAATGAATTTGTCAAATGTGCGTTTTCCATTCCACATTGGTCACAGGTTCAAATGAGTCTCTCGCATTCTGGGTGCTCCGGCGACCAGTGATTGGGCGAGATGCAGCCAGAACCCGGTCGCGCCACTTGGCGCCAATCTGATAAGATGGATCAAAGATACGGAAAACAACCATCCGGCTTCTTGTAACTTGGTATCCGTAGTCATCCGATTTCGATCGAGCCTGTGTCACTGGAATGTTCATTCCAGAATATTGAGTCCGAAGCTCCTCACTATATGAAATCGACATCACTTCGCAATTTCCCATATTCGTTTTTGGTAAAGAGTTCTCGCTCGGTCTCCGCCGAAATCCCCGAGACAACATTTCGGTCTAGTCCAGGCACCGCCGATACAGCAAGGGAACGTTTGTGTTTGTGACAGATGTCCCCATCGGATCCACAGACTCTGGGCATCTGTCCCCCGGTCTCGGGTGACAAGTCGCTGGTTACACTCTTGTTATCATGGCGTTACTCTTAAGAATGGCCTGCGCCCCCTTTGCTCCGGGCTATTTTCTTTCACTCAACTTCCGTCTCTACTTACTCCGCCCATTTCCCCAACATTGGCTCTCTCCTCTCCCTTTCTTCTCTTATTTCCGATCAGAATAATAAACCTTCAAACGCTATTAGCACGACACTCTCACGATGCCGTCCAATGAGGGCCTTGTCTCGCTTGCGCGCGAGTTCCGCGTTCTGATCGTTGGTGGCTCCTACGGTGGATTGGCGTCAGCCATGACGCTGATCGATCTTTGCCGTGGTCGTCTCGCTCGTTTCAACTTCACGCCCAATGCACAGCCCCCTCAACATCGCATACCCATCCAGATCACATTAGTGGACGAGAGGGATGGATACTGTCAGTAGTCTTCCCGCTGATTCCATCCTATAACATACAGCCACTAATCCCAAGAATGACTCCAGATCACCTCATCGGCTCCCCCAAGGCACTCGCCTCGGAGAAATACGCCTCAAAGACCTGGAATCGATTCGTGGACATTCCTGCCTTGAAGACTCCAGACATCAAATGGATCCAAGGAAGTGTCCACTCGGTGGACTGCCAGCGGAAGGTGGCTCAGATCCTTGATAGCCAGACGAGGCGATCGAGGGAAGAGAAGTACGACTTTTTGATCGCTGCATCTGGTCTACGCCGCGCTTTCCCGACAGTGCCACAGTCCCTGGAGCGTCGAGAGTTCCTGGAAGAGACAAGGAAGAATGTTGAGGCCATCCAGAACGCAAAGGAAGGCGTCGTGGTGATTGGAGGGGGTACGTCTTCTCGCATACCCCCACTCCCGCGTATTGATGACAGCTAATGACCTGTAGGTGCCGTCGGTGCTGAAATGGCCGCCGAGTTGAAAGATCTTTACCCCAACCAGAAGATCACCCTGATCCATTCCCGTGAGCACCTCCTTTCTGCCGAGCCTCTGCCCGATGCGTTCAAAGAGCGCATCTGTACTATCCTTCGTGAGCAGGAGGTCACAGTCATCCTCGGACAACGCGTTGTCGACACCACTGCCGTTGAGACAGAGGGAGGACGCCGCGTCTGGCAGCTTACTCTCTCCGACGGCACCAAGCTCACGGCTGGCCATGTGATGAACGCCGCTTCGAAGAGTGTCGCCACTTCCACCTATCTGCCTAAAGAGGCGTTGAACGAGGAGGGACTCGTCAAGATCAGACCCTCGTAAGTCCCTCTTCTCCTGTGTCCCACGGAGCCTCAACTGACTGCCGCCCAGTCTGCAATTTCCGGACAATGTTCCCAACGCAGATGACCACTTCGCTGTGGGTGATATCGTTTCGTGGTCGGGGATCAAACGCTGTGGCGCTGCCATGCACAAGGGTCATTACGCAGCGACCAATGTCTATCAGCGCATGATGGCTCAGGCTTTGAGCACTAAGCCTGAGTTCGTCAACCTGCAGCCGCACCCGGCCGTCATGGCTATCGCTCTGGGCAAGAACGCTGTGGCATATGACTCGGAGGGTGGGCTGCAGGACGGTGCGAAGACCTACGCTACCATGTTTGGTGACGACATGGGCTTCAGCAGTAAGTGCTCTCTCCGACCCTGCCAGTTTTACTTTCCGCATGCTAATGCTATACAGTCTGCTGGAATTACATGAAGCTGGGTGAGCCTTGCCAGGCTTAGACTTGTCTTGGATTCCTCATTATGCCCCTGACAAAGCAGGTATTTGTCAGGTATGTGGTTGCAAGACGGTGACAGGGTAATCGACTTGAGGAAAACGACTATAGGGTCACTACCATGGAGTGCTATTTAAGCACTAATCATATAAGCAAGCATGTGGGAGATGATCTGAACTTGCATATCTGTGATCTTCATTAGCTAGATAGATATTGTATCTATGGATAGGCTCTGGAAGCCTCTATTTACATTTTTGAAATCTATATTGAGTTTAACCTATTTCCCCTCAGCCTTTATGTGATACGTCCGTAGATGCGCCACTTCTCTGCAACAAAGACTACAAGCCCTGAAGCCTAAAACGTCTCTGAAGATTATATTGATATATTTATGATTCATTATAGCGTTACCGATGGACACCGCAGCCCACCGCATCAAGCCTCCCCCAAGGCCTGCTTCCTCGACCTCGAGCGAGTATCGAGATAGGGTGCTTCACCCAGACTGCAGACCCGGTCGCCAGCCCGAGCCTCGGCGTAGTCATACGTGGCACAGTGCCAGGTCGATCGGTTATCCCAGACGGCCAAATCATTCTTATTCCACCGGAAGCGAACCTGCGCGTCGTGGTTTTGGGTAATGAGCTAGGAACAAACCAGTCAGTCAACCGGCCCACATTTAAAGTCGTCTGTCGTCCACACTCACATTGAACAGATAGGCGAGCAACACGTCGGATTCATCCTTGGTGACCCCGTTGATGCGCTTCGTGAAGCCTTTGTTCACATACACGGACTTCCAGCCAGTGACAGCTATTGACGCAAAGTTAGAAGTCGAGATCACAAAACTTGAAACACAGATACCCAGGGGAAACTGATGGGGAGGAAACTTACGATTCGTGCGAATGACAGGATGGACGGCCGTCAGCGCTTCGCCCTGGTTGAGGGGCGAGCCTCGAATTCCCTTCCGCAACGGATTGCCCAACCGCCGCGCCTCGTCGTGGAAGAAGGTCGCGTCGTGCGTCGCCGTCAGCCCCTCCAGCATCCCCGCCATGGCGGGCGACAGGCGATCGTAGATCTCATAGCCTGACGCCCAGAGGGTGTCGCCGCCCGTCTCTGGGAGCGTGTGGATCTTCAGCATGGCGTAGTCGGAGGGGACGGGCTCGAAGCTGATGTCGCTGTGCCAGCCCACGGAGGCGAAGCGGCTCGTGTCGCTGAGTTGGTGCGTGAGGCCGCCGCCCTTCTTCTGCTTCTCGCTGCTGATCACGCTGATCTGGTCGCCTAGCTCGCTGCCTTCTTCTGTCAGGGGGTGGATGTGCAGGCCGGATGACTCGGGCTGTGATGGGGGCGGTCAGTCAGGTGTTTTTGGGAGGTACATCTTGTACTTACGCATCCGGCCAGGTGTGTCAGCTTCTCTCCAAACTCGCGCATCTGCTGCGGTGTCACATCTTGATCACGCAGGAATACAACCCCTCGGCTTGAGACTGTTCCCGTCAGCATCAGCGTATTCGAAACTTTCGGAAATCATGTCATACTTGTTACTGCGAGATCCTTGATGATCTGATCGCATTGCTCCGACTTCAAGATCTCAGCCACCTGAAGGCCTTTGTACTCGCGACCAATGACCGGCGTCAGGTCTTGCCGGGCATACGAGTCCAGAGACCCGGAATACTGCAGTGGTTCGGAGATGCGCGGTCGGGACTGCTCATGGCCGCCTCTGATAGTCGAAGCCGGGGCGTTCTCAACGACAGCAGGCATGGTGACGGTTCTGGCTGTTACAGAGGCTGGTGTGAGGTGAATGGGCACACAAAACAGGACTGTGCTTGTGGCAGAACCGACGAAGGGATCTGATAAGCTTCCCGACTCTTTATATGAGCTACGATAGCCGACGAAATACGTCCCCGTCGACTCTGCAGCAGCGATCGCAGTGGTATGTTGTCAACGACTCGTCCCCACCGTGGTGGAGGGCTACGGGTCATGCAGTGCGAATGGCGACAACCCGTCAACCTCGCGACGCGAACCCTCTCTTACAGGCACTGGCTAGTTATCTTCCGCGGAGTTTCCTTATGGCATCTTCCGTACGGTTCCAGGGCCACATAGTGCACATACGAGTCAAGTCCCTCGTGGGCCCATCGCCCTCAATTTCCCCGCATTAAGCATGCCCGATTGGTTTGCCTCTGGGTGACGCCAATCAGCGGCCAGCGGGATGGCTGTCGGCGGGGCGTCGGCGAAATTCTCGGAGGGCTTCTTGGTCCGTGTTCTGCCATTTCTGAGTCTCGCCAAACACCACCACCATCATCAGCGAATAGAAGCTGTCAACGGAGTCCGCCGTTCGAAATGGTGTGCATGTGCTTCATCTACAAACAGCAATGCTCCGAAACCTGGGGAGCATGGCAGACTACGCTCAGATAACAATTGGGAATGACTGCGGTGACAGTGCGTTGACAACTTACAAGCAAAGGAATATCCGGGGAATCCTACGCCCAAGAACCTCTTCAACCGGCCACCGTGAACTGTGGGGTTTAACAGTCCGCCTCAACAAGTATGCACCGTTTCAACGTTTATTTATTTATTTATTTTTCTTCAGCCCAGCTCTATTCTTCTTGCCCTCGGAATCAGACGGAGAAAGAGGCTATTGGCGAAAAGCTTTGGTTTTCCGCGAGAAAAGTGGCTAGCGCACCGCCTGGGGTTCCCTGGCGGCGATGATGTGCTCGGCGATCCGTTTTGTGCAATTCTCTTAGTCCGATTCTGGATTCAGGGCATGCATACACACGGCTGTAACAATAACACCATGTCTGTGGTTGGCTCAAGCAAAGGCCCGTTGTCGATGGCCATTGCGAATAACGACATCAGAGAATTAATTATCCTTTATCCAACGCCTCGAACTTCGATGGTATATAAGTCCTTGGCCATGGAAGACCATCCAGCCCTAGAGGTTTTTTGTCCCCGCCCATTATCTCGAGTTCCTTGAGATTCTGCGTTCTTAGCAGCAAGGCGTGGCCTGTCAGAGAGACATCATGACGGACATCGAAACGGGGTTCAAGGGCTCCTCCATCAAAGCCCACGATGTCGAAGACACGCAGTCCTCGAAGGTGTCGATCGAGGTCGGACAGGAACACCTCGCTGGCGTCGTGCCTCCCCATGAGTCGTATGAAGGCTTTCACCGATTCGATCCCACCGCTACCTGGACCGAACAAGAGGAGAGACGAGTGATCTGGAAAACCGATCTGTATCTACTCACAGCTCTCTGTATCATGGTACATTTGCTGCAATATCGATCGAATGGCGGACGTTCGCTGACATGAATAGTTCTTTGGTCTCCAACTGGACCGTGGCAACTTATCAAATGCGCTGACAGACAACCTGCTGGTCGATCTGAACATGTCGAGTAACGACTACAACAATGTGAGAGCCTACACGCCCCAGCATACAGACACGCCTTTCTAATTTCTGCAGGGAACCACTATCCAATTAGTGTGCTTCTTGTCCGCAGAGTTCCCCGTCCAGCTGCTCATCAAGAGATACGGGTTCAAGCGGGTTCTCCCCGTGATGATGATTTGCTGGAGTACTGTATCCTGGGCGCAAGCATGGATGACCAACCGGGCTGCCTTCTACGTGACGCGCGCACTCATCGGGGCTTTTGAAGGTGGTTTTATCCCCGGCACCATCTTGTTTGCGACCTACTTCTACAAGACGAAGGAGCTCTCCGTGCGCCTGGGATTCTTCTGGTCCACGCTTAACGTACGAACCGCAACTCACCCCCAAATGAAACTCAACTAACCACGGAACTAGGTTGCCCGTATCATTTCGTCGCTGCTGGCGGCGGGTATTCTCGAGATGCGTGGCGTGCAGGGCAAACCGGGCTGGTTCTGGCTTTTCCTGATCGACGGCCTCATCACCTTTGCCATCGGATTCCTTGTACGCATTCCTTCCCTTCTCTTTCCCAAACCCACAACGCCCACAAACAGAAACCGAACAACTAACCCCACAAACAGAGCCTCTTCTACCTCCCCAGCTCGCCCACCAACACGAGCAGCCTCCTCTGCCCGAGAAACTGGTACACCGAACGAGAAGAAGTAATCATGATCAACGTACGTCCCAACCCCCCAAATAAAAAAATACCCCCCACTAAACCACCCCAAGCGCCTCCTCCGCGACGACCCCTCCAAAGGCCTAACGCACATCAATGAATCCGCGACCCTGCACGACATCATCTCCGCCTGGAAAGACCCCTCCATGTGGGGTCTGTATCTGATCGGCCTAGTGGCCTACATCCCCCAAAGCCCGGTCTCCAGCTACCTCTCCCTGACCCTGAAGCGCCTGGGCTTCACCACCTTCGAGTCCAACATGCTCTCGATCCCCTCCGCGGCGCTGCAGATCATCCTGATGCTGGCCCTGTGCAAGAGCAGCGAGTACTTCGGCGACCGGACGTGGCACAGCCTGTTCGGGGAATTCTGGTCCCTGCCGCTGCTGATCGCCCTGCTGTGCCTGCCGGCGGGTGGCTACAACTGGGCCCGCTTCACCATCACCACGCTGATCTCGGGGTACCCCTACTTCCACCCGATCGTCTCCGCCTGGATCTCCGAGAATACCTTCGACGTGAAGAAGCGCGCCATCACCGCCGCCACATACAATGTTATCGTGCAGGTTGGGTCGATTATTTCGTCGCGTGAGTTTCTTCCTTTCAGAAAAAAGAAAAAGAGGCGCAGAAAAAAAAAACCTCCTTCCTGAAACGAGTGCGATACTGGGTACGGCACGGAACTCTTGCTAATGACTGTGGCATAGAAATTTACCGCTCCAACGACTCCCCCTACTACTACACCGGCGACAAGGTCCTGGTCGCCCTCTGCGTCTTCTCCATGGCCGTCTTCGTGGCCCAGCGCGAGTACCTCCGCCACCTCAACCGGCAGAAGGAGCGCAAGTGGGCCCTCATGTCGGCCGAGGAGCGCGTGCTCTACCAGGCGGACACGGCGGCGCGCGAGCGCGAAGGGAACAAGCGGCTTGATTTCCGGTTCAAATACTAGCCACTGGGCAGCTGGGTATGCATCCTGTGTTTGGGGGCTTGTTTGCTTTGTGTCGGGAAGACTGCTTCTTGCTTGGGATTATTAATCTGCTGAGGGGGGATGGTTTGATCTGGTTGTATAGGTTCCAAAGGTTTCTTTTTGGCCTCCCTGGTTGTTGTTACTGACTAATGAGAAAGCGAATGGGGAGTCTTTTTCGTTTCATCTTATATTAACTCATAATATACGTGTCATTCGTCGTTATACGGGTTCGAGGAATATACATATGGCAAAACTCAAGCTGGGAAGCTTGATCTTGACAAGGGTGGTGGCTCCGGCAAGTAGTCCCCGGTCATGCAGAAGTAATGCTCCGACGGCACAGACTGAATCGCCCCGCCGCCGGTTTGAGCCATGAAATCGCCTACCCACATCTCCACCGACTCCGACGGCAGAGACGGGGACCACGAGGGACCCCCGCCCAGTCGTGGCTCTCTGCCCTCCTCCAATAGCAGCGGAGATTGGGCGTTGGGGATGCCGACTAGGTATGGGTCGTAGGCGTACGCGGCCGCGGCCGCGGCAGCTGCATAGCCCAGTCCCGCGGAGAAGGACGGCCCAAACAAGTTAGAGGGCGCCAGGTCTCCTAAGGAGTGGAGAGCGTGCTGGGCACTAATGTCGCTTGGCTCCTCCGGCATCACGCCGTGAGGAGCACGGTTGTGGTCAGGGGTCTGAAACGCAGTAGTGGTAGCAGCTTGGTATAGGTCGTCCGCGGCGGTCCAATCAGCCACGGTGTTTGGAGCCGTGGGATCGGCAGTACTCGTGAGGACGTCTTCTAGGGTCGATGCAGGCAGTTCGGCGGCTGGGCTGTCCCCACCGTTGATGTCTGCGCGGGGGGTGGCTTTACGTCTAACTGGCGTGTGGACCTCGCGTATCGGCGGCGGTAATGCAGGTCCACTGCTAGACTGCGCATCCGCCATTTTCTTATACAGTAGCTCCGCTAGTTCTTTATTGCCGCCGCCGCGGAAGGTGGAGAGAATCGAGTGGAGTCGAGCCAGGATGCTGCTGGGGCGGCTTTCTCCATCCCAGACTGGGGCTCGTGGCAGCATGGCCAGATTGATTACAGCGTCGGCTAGTGAGCTGGCGATCTCATAGAGCTTGAGTTCCTGCGGATGTTTTAGTGAGCCTGCTCTAGATGTCGGTGGATGTACTGCACATACCATACCGAGGCCGTGGGCTTCAATCGCCGTTCGTGGAAGCTGGGAGACTATGTTCAGAAGCTCCTTCGCTACTAACACGGGGAACGAAGGAGAGTTCGGCCATTGGGACGAAGGTGAACCCTGCAAACCCTGCTTGAAAGAGAACTTCCAGAGTATCATCCGCATCCAGTGTCGCGTCACGCACAGGTCGGCCTTTTGTACATCCGATATGTGGTCTAATAATGCTGATCCGTCCTGAAGATTCTCCTGCAGCAGCCGTAGAAATCTTGCATCCACGCCCTGCACCTCATCCGAAATCGTGTCTCTTCCGACGTTGTCGTCTTCAATGAGATCGAACATCCGGGACTGCTCAAACAAGCGAAAAAGGTTGAGCAATTTGAGGAAAGCGGGGAGAACTTGTGGTTCATCGCTCGTGTCGAGTGCTGGAGTGGAGACGTTCGTTTTCAGAATAACGGGTAACTTGTGGAGGATGCAGACTCCCCTGCATGGAAATCAGACACGGTTCGCTTGCGGATGCTGGAAAATCTCACCGTTCTGTGACGAATAGCAACCATAGCACGCGCCGACGCAGTTGTTGCTCCTCCGCTGGCAGTCCCATATACGAAGCTTCTCGGTGGAGGGACATCATTTGTGCCAAGGTGATAGCCTCTCGCAGATAGAGTAACGACTCACTCGCCCCCGACTGTTGGTTCTCGTAGTAGACATGCAGAAAAAAAGCGGTGCGCACATTGTTTAGATTGAGCCTCGAGCGATAGTCGTACAGCCGTCGTGCTCGCATGCTCTCGAGCGCAAGATTCTCCGCACTCAGAGATTTTTCCGGCTCTGAATTTTGTCCAAGCCGTAACTGGGCGATGGTGGCGGCAGCTACTGCAGTTGCAAGGGCGTACGTTTCATGCTCCTTCTCCTCTACATCTTGCTGCAACGTCGCCAGGACCTTTTCGACATCGACAATAGGCCAGACCGGATACATGCGAACATGATAGATGTACAGCGGGGATGCGAGGACATTGATCGGAATTCGAGATCTAGATGCTCACATGATTAAAATGTTAGACTTTGGCGTACGTCGGTAGTACTGCGAAACGCAAAGCAGCGGAATAAACGCGATGCGCTTGGATGCAAAAGGCAGCATACCTCGAGCTGTGTTGGGTTTCGCACATTGCGGGGTTGCGAAGCGCGTGGTCGGCTTCGAGCACTTCCCCTCTCACTGGAGCCGAGGGTAGTGCATTCTGCATTTCCAAGCCTCTTTGCGCTTGATCGATGAGGAATTTGGTGGTCGCGCGCAGTTTCTGAGGACCGCGAGGCTGCTGCACACGGATATAGGTGCACTTGATGCGCGCATTGAAGCAGGACTGGCATGGCTGGCCCCCGCCGCATTTGATCTTTCGGATCTTGCATCCATCACAGGCCTTCTTGGTGATTCCGGCTCTGGAAGACATCTTGCTTGTGGGTGCCGTGGCAGTTGCAGTTGCAGTCGCATGCATCAGGCACGATTCGAGTCGAATGCATGACCTAGCCAGAAATCTTGGGGTCGTAGCAGGTGGCACGGACGAGGAATTGTCACAATGTTGACGGCCGAGCGATCATGTCGACGTTTTTGCGGGGCAAGCCATGAGAGGTTGCTTGGCAGATGCAGCTCGAAGCGAGGCAAGGCCCTGTGCGATCGCGGTAAATCCCGGTCAGCGTAGCCCTTCTGCTTCGTAGCCGATGACCGTGGCAATGGGATTGTGTCCACCGTCCACGGTTTCGTCGATCGCAAGGTGATTGTTGACAAAAGTGATGGATGGATCCAACGGCCGGCAATCGATAAGGGGCAGGCAGACGATTGCGCCTTCGACTCCATGGGGCACGCCATTGCATGGACCCACTAGGTGCATTTCGAGGAACAGGTGAGATGTTAACACAGCATCGATGTAGGCATCGATGCGATGCTATTCGGAAACCAGTACCAGCGGTATGAGGAATGAGCCAATTTGAAGTTGTAAACACTGTGCACAGCTCGTGATCGAGATGCAAACCTTGCAAACCCTACTCCCCCAAGAGTACCCCAGATCATCCCACTTACTCCGCAACATTGGCCTCGGATAACACAACAGTCAAGCGTTATGATTTAAATGTGTCTGTCGTCATGGAATTTCGAAGTCTTTTCCCGTCTCTCTTCTCTCGCTTGCCGCCTTCTCACTAAACATGGAGTTTTTAAAGGCGCTTGCTGCAGCATGAGAGGCAACGCGCAGACCTGGGCGAGAACAGCTAAATCCACCGGCTGTTTAGCACGTCTACTTTCTTCCTCTTTTTCAAGTATCGACCAGAGAATGCGGCAGTGTACGTGACAATCGACGGCTTCATAAAACCCACCTAATCAGAGCAGGTGGCCAAACCGCGAGTACTGCTAACAGAAATGTCTCCACGGTCTAGGATTCAACTCAGACCTGGATCACAAGTGCCCAATATGATAAGCAAGGAAACTAGAAGGAATAACAGGTATGTAAACGAACCGAAACCACTGCTGTTTACATGCCACTAACATGATTGTATTCTTAGTCTAAGAAGAAGGATTTATATCATTATATCCTGACCGTCTTTCAGCTTGCTTGGTGCTTATACCTTTCGAGTCCCTGATTTCTATGACTTAGTTTTTCCATCCTTGCCTCCTTCCAGCCTGGTAACATGTGTTTGCTCCTCCTTCCAGCTTGAAGGACAGTGAAGTCAGGCGACTTATTACGATCTGACCCAAACTGAAGAAGTGTCAGAAATTTCAAAAGTCCAGGCGAACCAGTGGCACTGTATACAATTCCCGCCAAGAGAATGATGTAGCCAGAGACTGAGAGACTTGCGGAGATATGCTGCCGGTCTATCCTGGCGACATCTCTGCCACAGCAAAGAACCGTTTCCATGAGCGATGCATGCCAATTTGCGAAGACATTGGTGTCATTTTCTTCCTCATGGCATCTCCGTGTCAGTGACGCAGTTGACAAGGGCAAGAAGCATTCATTCGGTCTGTTATGGCTCCAGGATTGTCCACTTCGACCATACTGCAGTTTCTCAGGCCCTCATGCATGTCCGAGTAAGCGAGGGTAGGTTACTAGAATATATTTTTGTCAGCATGGGTCTCTGCGTAACCCCTCGAAAACAGATATTCATGAAATGCGCACGCTTTCCTTTCTACAGAGGGAGAAGAATCAAAGGCGTATGGCCGTAGCAAGCAACGTAAATCCAAGAAGCCAGCCTAAAGCTTCCACAAAGACTTATGTATCACGCACGGCAAAGACAGACAAAACCCAACTAATCCCTTCTGGGCCATGCACCCCCACTAGGCCCGGGTGGGTCTAGAACTCTTCCCCCCCAAACTAAACAACGAGACCCTCCGAGCAAACCTCCGACGCCTCTTGCGCCTCAAGCTGCCCTCTGCATATGTCAGTGTGATTGGACTCAAAGGCTCCACCGCTGCAGTTGTGCAACTATCGACAGACCAATGGCCGATACCCCGAGGGATTCCAGCGCACGCAATGGCCCGTCGCAGTCGGACTAGGTACAGATAAATTGGTACCGCAGCCCCCCCCCCCCCCCCTCGCGCGGGGGCTTGCCTACTGAATTGGACGATTCTCTCTCTTTCTACATCAACAAAGTACTGTACTGTACACCATGGCGTGGCCGAACAAGAACAAAGACATGCTCTACCGCCGGGTAGGCAACTCCGGGCTGCATGTCTCCGCGCTGGGGTTGGGAGGATGGTTGACGTGAGTTGTTGCATGACCGTCGGAGCAGGACAATCTTACTGATGTTTCGACTTGTTGGCAGTTTCGGAGGCCACGTGGATAATGGTACTACTTCTTGAGTTGAACCTCAAGTGCTGGACAGCGGGACTAACGACGGGGCTTGACAGAAATCACCTTCCAATGCATGAAGCAAGCCTACGACTGTGGGATCAACTTCTTCGACACCGCGGAGAGGTAGCCCTTTCCCTCCCGGCCGCAAATCACAAGACGCAAGCTAATCAAGCGCAGCTACGCGGGCGGTCAATCCGAGATCGTCATGGGCCAAGCGATCAAGAAATTCGGCTGGAAGCGCAGCGATCTCGTCATCAGCACCAAGGTGCGTCCGTTCCGTTCCTTGACACGACTACATAACTACCACCAGCGACAGAGGAACCATCCGCTAACGTCTAGTGGCCGGTGGACAGCTAAACTGGGGCCTCGCCAACGGCGAGATCCTGATCAACAACCATGGCCTCTCCCGGAAACACATCGTGGAGGGGACGCGGGCGTCGCTGGAGCGGCTGCAGCTGGAGTACGTGGACATCATCTACGCGCACCGGCCGGACCGGCTGACGCCGATGGAGGAGACGGTGCGGGCGTTCAACCACGTGATCGAGAAGGGGTGGGCGTTCTACTGGGGCACGTCGGAGTGGTCGGCGGACGAGATCAGCGAGGCGTGCGGGATCGCGCGGGCGCTGGGGCTGATCGCGCCCGTCGTCGAGCAGCCGCAGTACAACATGCTGACGCGCCAGAAGGTCGAAGGCCAGTTCCAGCGGCTGTACGCGCGCTGCGGGATCGGGCTGACCGTGTTCTCGCCGCTGAAGATGGGGCTGCTGAGCGGCAAGTACAACGAGGCCACGACGCAGCCGCCGCCGGGGTCGCGGTTCGCCGAGAGCAACGACAAGTACGCCAACTACGTGCGCAGCGAGTGGGAGAACGAGTGGGCGGGCACGATCCGCACGGTGCAGGGGCTGCAGGGGCTGGCGGACAAGCTGGGCGTGAAGCTGTCGCAGCTGGCGCTGGCGTGGTGCCTGAAGAACGAGAACGTCTCGTCGGTGATCACGGGGGCGTCGCGGCCGGAGCAGATCGTGGACAATGTGGAGAGTCTGAAGCTGCTGCCGCGGTTGACGCCGGAGGTGATGGCGGAGATCGATGAGTATCTGCGGAATGCGCCCGAGCAGGACCCAGCGCGACAGGACTAGTAACGTTACTGAGTATGAGCTTATCAACTGCGGTACCTAATGAACTGAATTCACTTTTCCCAAACCCCTGAAGTTTTTAACCCGGTAAACATACCCCGTAGACGAGCACAACAAAGCACGTGTCAAGGACCCCTCACCCTACGCAAATGACATCACATCACTACACCCCAACAAACAACCCTCTCCCAAGCAACCACTACAACTACACCTACACCTCCACCTCCACAGTCTACAACACACAGTCTACAAAACCCAACCTACCCAACCCAAGCTACCCCATGACTATGAGCAAACTCCCCCCGGAACTCCACCTCCAAATCGCCACGCACCTCCCGGCTCCCCCCGACCTCTCGCGGACCCACCTCGCCCAAACAAACCACTACTTCCACGCCCTCCTCCCCCACCCCACGCACGCCGAGCTCCTCGCCGCAGAACTCGACCCCCTCGCCATCGCCCACGACCTCTACGCCTGCCGGTACTGTCTGCGGCTACGGCGGGCGACGCACTTTGCGGACCGGATGGTGCGGCGGGGCCGGGGCCGGTTCGGGGCGGAGCGGGAGCGCGCGAAGCGGTTCTGTCTGGAGTGTGGGGTCTGTCCTCGAGATGGGGACCTGGGGGTTCGGGAGAATGGTGGAGGACGGCAAGCTGAAGGTCCGGCACAAGCACAAGCACCGCGCAGCGAAGCGCGGTACGGATATGGGGATCTGGTGCGCGTGCAAGGGGTGTGGATGGTGTTCTGTGGGCGGTGTCGGGGGTTGAGGCGGGTGGTTCCGTCGTCCCCAGCAGATAAAAGGCGGGGATTGCAGCAGCATTTGCAGGTTGGGTGGGAGGAGGAGCAGAGTATCGGGATGCGCATGGGGAGGGATTTGGGGTGTGAGGGGTGTTTGTAGTCGCATGTTTCTCATGACGAAATGGGGAGGTTGAGTTTGGTATCAAATTCAACTGGTGGGGAGGATGTTAAGTCAACTTGGGATTCAAGTTAGATACCCACGAAAGCACACTTCACCTATCCTACTTACAAGAGTAAACAGCTACAGAAACCCATCCAACGCCCCCTTGATCTCAACCGCCTCATCCTCAGCAGCAACATCAACATCAACATACAAACTCACATACTCCACCCCCTTCTCAATCGAGCTCACCCCCAGCACCATCCTCTCTTCCATAAACCTCCCCTCCTCCCACGCCCGCACAATGCCCCCCGCCATCTCATCCTCCTCCTCCATACTAAACTCCGCCAGATACCCCGTCCCAAACGACACGAGATACCCGACGCCATCGAAGAACCGAAACGCCTGCGCCTCCCCGGAGGTGGTCCGCGTATCCTGCTGGCCCGGCGGCAGGAGCCGCACCACCGTCCGGTTGTTGCGGTACCAGGTGACGTGGATATCCTGCACCGCGGCGGTGGTGCCGGACGCAACGAAGTCCTGGATCACGAACTCCTCGAGCTTGTCGTCTGCGCTGAGGACTCCGCTGCCACCACCGTTGGTGGTGCAGGGGACCGCCACCGGAAGGATAGAAGAATACCCCAGACCGCGGTCCCGGAGCGCGTGGGCCATGATGTCCTTGTATGTTGCGGGGTGCATGTCCACTAGTTCGGCAGCGGTGGCCTCGTCCATGGCGGAGTAGTCGGCGGCTGCGGCGAGGAGGACGGCCACGATCGAGCTCAGGAGGCCGGCGATGTCCCAGCACTGGTCGAGATGCAGGAGGGAGCAGGTGGATTTGACGAGGATGGCGGTGGCTAGGGTGTAGGCGATTCTGCATGACGCAAAGATATTAAGGGGGATGTTACTGTATTACTCTGAAGATGGATGATGGATGTAACTCACTTGTTCTTGCTACGGCCCAGCGTCCGCAAGACTGCGTCGATCTGCACACATAACTGATGCGTCGTGTCGAGCGGGATAGGCAACTGGTTGTATTCGTTCAGGATCCGAGCAAGATCAACCCCAAACTCTTCACACACAGTAACCCTGCCAGTCAGAAATTCTCCATGCCCCGCTTGCGAGGCTGCGAGCAACAGAAAAAGAGGGGTCAGGATTCTTCGGGATGTCTCGCGGTTGAGGACGATCTGGGGGCGCGAGCTAGTCCTTTAATGACACATTAGCGAGCTCCTCGAAGACAAGAAATGACCCTACCAGTTCTGAGGAGCGAGGTGGTTCTTGCATAAAAGTAGCCAGAGTAGAGAGGTCAGCACAGAGATGATACAAGTCAACAGCCACCAGAGATAACCAGTCCAGGTGGGTGTGTCTGGGTAAAAGCGAGCACGCGTAGCCCCGCGAGTGTGCTTGTTCGAACCCTGGGATGCTGAATCGGACTCATAGGCAGAGTCAGCAAACACAAACTCATCTGTCGATGTGATCATCGTGCAGGTGTCTCCTGGGTAGGACGCAGGCATTTGCTGGTGGGGCATAGTTGGTTGTACTTGCAGAGGTAAAGAAGAAAAACAGTAAATACAGAAGAAGGTGGAGATGTGGAGGTGAAAATGAGAGAGTGAAGTGGAAGGATGAGGTGAGCGTTGCCTTGTCATAGCCTTCACACTGACCATCGATAGACTATCGCTTCCCCGTTGTTTGGATCACTTCCAGTAGAGCCCTCAACTGCAATGTATCAGGTTCTGTCCGACTTCCCGTCTCCTCCTGCACGCTTAAGCATCCTAAGTACTACCAGTAGATTACGAGATATACCTTTCGCTAGCAAGCGTTGGACTATCCGGAGAGAAAGAACTTCTCATTCATAACATGTACATGAAACTCTAGGACACCACCACGCGGTTTGTCACTTGAGGATAGTTTTGCAAACTCAACACTGAGCTTTACCTTTTATGCAACGGTTATCAAACATGAAACATAAGAATAAAGCAGGGTCCAGCCCCAAGAACACACACGCTAATCCGCAAACCAGTCCCATATAACAGAGGTCACTTCAGCTACAGCCGGGCCATCGGGTGCGTCTCACGACTGTCTCCCAGGGATTTGGCAATGTTCCGACTAGCCCAGTCAGCGATCGCCATATTAGTGATCATGGGATTGACACCGCTGGCACTAGGGAACACTGATGCATCCACCACATACAAGCCCTGAGTCTCCCACACTTGACAGTCCGGGTCAACCACACTGGTCTTGGGACTAGCACCCATCCGACAAGTTCCCATCTGGTGGGCGCTGGCAAACTGTGTCCGCTCGGGCTCAAATGGGACCTTATGAGCGCGCATATCAGCAAGCCACGCTTGGAAGGACGCGTTGTTGGTGCCTTCCGCAGCTTCAGAAGGTGTCATCTCAGGTCGGATGTATGGAGTCAGCTCTCGCCAGGTCGTATGGAATTCCTTGGCGCCAGCAACGAAAGCAATCTTGGCAGTGCCAGCAAGTGCCTCAAGCATATGCTTACGGTCATAGGCAGACACCGTATAGTCAATGCGACATCTCCCATCAACCGGATCCGGGTACACTCGTCCACCGTCTCGGTCCCGAGTGAGTGTGATGAACCCAACCGTCCGGGGCAAATTAAGCACCCATATCTTATAGTCGAGTCCACCACGCCAAGGGAAGAGGGGAAGGTAGGCGGAAGGCAGCATGGACAGAGCCTCAATCTTGACGCCGTAGCCTTTTCGATCGAGATTCTCGAATTCGTTGACGACAGTAGTCAGTGCAGATCCTTCCCAAGGTCGAACCTCTTCATTGAGGACGGCACCCGCAACAATCACTGGAAGTACAAGTTAGCTAGCCTTCCGAGAAACCTTCAATGAATAATAGCATACCGGGATGAAGGTGAAGATTGCGACCGATTTGTGAGTTCTTCAGCCCGCTCCGCTTGAGAAGCAGAGGGCTTTGCAAAGACCCACAGGACACTACCACGCGTTTTGCATTGATGACCACTTTTCGCTTTACCGCACCAATACCCGACGCCCCCAGGTACGAATCTCTTGAGGTCCAAGTCCCCTCCACGCCCGAAGCCACCGTTCCATATGGCTTTTCTTCGAACAAAATCTTGTCCGCGCGGAATCCTTCGATGAACGTAGCCCCTCCCCGAGAGGCGTCGGCGAGGAATGTCTCCGTGGGACCTTTCTTCCCACATGTGTGGCAGCCCAGAGTACAGTAGCCGCAGTAATGCGGGCCATGACCTGTGTTCTGGGGCACCGACTTAGCGGAATAGCCCAATCGGCGAGCTCCCTCAAGGATGAGGCGATTGGCTTTGTTGTGCTCGGTATGATCACTTCCCACACCCATCCGGTCGCAGACACGATCCAAGCACTTTTGGTACTCTTGGCTAGTGAAGAATGGAAGTCCATTGTTCGCCCACTCCTCACGCACGTATCCTTGTGTCTGCAACGCAGCGGACCAGTTGACTGTGCCACCGCCACCCCAGTTGGACCCTGCCAGAATAGCCGTACATCCGTCGTCAGTGACGATGCCGCCTCCTCCCTCAAACATGCTGATAAAACCCTCGTTCGCGGCCATTGGAAAGTGGTCAGACGAGTAGTAATACGACTTATCCACAACAATCACCTTGTATCCCGCCTCGGTGAGATTCTTCGCCGCGACACTCCCACCACAGCCACTCCCGACAATGACAACGTCTGTTTCGATGATTTCAAGATCCTCACTCGGAGGGAACTGCAAGAATTCATACTTGAAGCCATCCGCAGGTTTCCCATGGACTGGAACCCGAGGAAAACCGATGGCTAGGTTCAGCGTTGGGCTAAATGTAATCCAAGTCTTCTTGAAGATGGTGGATAGAGCCCGGTAGATAGCTCGAAGTGGTTTGATTCGGGCGGTCTCCCAGCTGCGGAAGATGGCTTCGCGCACGTCCACAGGCTGATCTCGAATCAGGACCACTGATCCTGTTAGAAGGAGGGAGCCAGGTCGTGTACTGTAGAACGTGTTAGCTCACGAGCCTTTCGGACGCCGATGATACATACTTCAGGGCATTCAGAATAAACTTAATGCCGTTCAATCCCTCGTCGTGGACATATACCGAGAACAGACGTTGCAGTCCCTCCCGAAACGTGTTATTAGAGGAGGCAGACTCCCGGAGATACTGACCGGCAATCGTAGCCGCATCAGGACCAGGGATCTTGGAGGTTATGGTTGTACGAGCTCGCTCCATCTCCTGGGATGTAACAATCTTGGTCGCCTTGGACTTGTAGGCGACAGGGGAGCGGATGGACGGAATCACGGTGTCAGCTAGAGCCAGAAGGGTCCTCCATTGTGTCGAGGTGAAAACCGCTCGAGTGGGTACAGCAGGAAGGGCAACATCCAGTGGGACACGTTGCTCTGTGTTCTCAGCAGCCATGGTGATGGTTGTGCGGTCGTCGTGTGTTTGATTAGGAGAATGGTAGAGGAATAACGATGAGTTATAGAGATAGTCAGATGGCGATAGAAGAACACGCAAGGTGTATGGTGGTGACAGAAGTCAGGATCGTTGAAGACAAGAACTTGAGACTCTGGTGTTTAAGGCTTCTGGGCCCTCAGCGTGGCTTCCTTCGCTTGCTACTTTGGAAACGGCAAGTGGCACCAAAGGAGTAGGAACGAGGCGGAAGGAAGAGGGGGGTCTTTCAAGGAAGGAGAGTGGAATGTGTCCACGGCGTCCGAGGTCGAGGTTCGGGCTCAGGTACTACCGAGCAATAAGAGCTCTTCCTAAGAGCAATCCCAAGGCTCCATAATTAAGTCTAAGGGCCAGAGCTAGAAAATGGGCCGACAATCTCGAGCGAGTGGTGGGTGGGAAGTGGGAACTTGAAGGAGGGAGCGAGTGGGTCGGCTGTATACGATCGACATGCGGACCCATACTAACGATGTGAGAATGAAACTCTGGTGCTCTTGAGTGCGGGGAAACTGGTGAAGCCGAGTTAATTCAATGACACCACGTGAATTGAGCTGAATGCCGCGAAGAAGGTCTATCAGAGCGTTGCGCTATGGACGGGCGAGGTTTAAGGCAGACAGATCCATCCACCCCCGCGCGAAGCCGCGGGACCTCGGCTGGGTTTGGATGGGGATTCCGGGGTTTTGCAATGCGAACTGAAGTCCGAGTTCGTATGCGTGCCATGGTTGAGAGTGAGCTTATCAGGTCGAGAGAATTGAGAGAATCTGAACCATGATGGATGAGTGATTCATCCTCCGCATGAACCGCTAGAGTTCCCGAGCCCGTGACTGGCCTACGTACTGTACACACAGTATCCACCGTATACACACATAGACTGCCTAGGCAGTGCTGTGCTCTACTTCGCCCGCTGTACTCCATCTATCCTTGATGAATTCGCTTGATCGATCTGACTCGAGTCTCAGTCACTTCAGGGGCCAAAGAACCCAGAGTTCTAAATCCCTAACCATAGGGAGACTTTCCATTGCTGAAGGGTAACTAGTAGGTGCAGATGGACTGGCAGTTGTACGAGCGTTTCCATCTTCTACTAGGTAGGTATTCTTGCCGACTTTTCACATAGATCCATATCAATGATAGAGATACATACCAATTGAAGGATTCAATTGATCCATACCTCGTACTGAAAGTGAGCGCATGTCTTCCCCGGACAAGAACCGAGGTAGATTTAAACTAAGCTCAATGGGGAATCGTCCGCCCCACCCCCAATCACCGTGGTTTGCACCGTTTGTCTGCGATCGCAATCTCACAATCTCACCCAAAATGCCATGCCATGCCATGCCATGCCATGCGATTAGCATCTCAGCTGCCGATGTTTCACTAGCCATGATGTGATCCTGCGATTCAACGCATATTTCCTTCAAACTCTTGACCTTTCTTGCGCCTCTTCTGCACCGTGCGACCGATCTGCGCAATTGCCCCGACCCGACAATTGCAATTCGTGCCCACCTCTCCATCCCCGCCGATGACCACGTCCCTTATCGCGTCCAAAGATCCATCCCTCCCAGAATCTCCGGCATTCTACAACTCTTCTGCAAGCTCAACCCATACAATAACAAAAGGCTACAATGTCGAGCGACTCTGGGCGGGCAATGATCAGCCCGTCGATGCGGCGCAGCCCCAAATCCAACCTTCCGCCCGAGAGGGTTTTCTCCATACAGATCGGGACGGAGCTATTTCGTCTGTCTGGGGCATCCATTGCGTCTGATGGTCAGTCTGCCAGATAGTCCCCAACTCACGAACCCTCTCTAAACCTCCGAAGCTCCGTCCTACTTCTCCCACTTCTTCGAAGAGCAAATCCGCCAAAACGGCGACAATCCCAACATCCGCACCCTATACATCGATCGCGACCCGACCACGTTTAAAGAGATCGCCAAACATTTGCAGGGTAGGACCGATACTTAATGTGATTGCGACTGCGCAAATATTGACTGGTTGCGGAGGATAGGATACCACATTCAGCCCACAGACGGGTCCCAATTCGTCAAGTTCTTCGCCGATGCTCAATTCTATAGCTGTGCGTCGGCCCACTCCCTGGTTTGGAGATATCCACATGCTAACGGTCGCAGTACCACGCTTAATCTCCCAGCTATTCGAGTCACAAATCTTCATCCAGATCGGCGATCGCAACTTCCAGATTCCCCGCGACATCTTCTCCGGTCCAGGCGACTCGCCGAATTTCTTCACGTTGGGGTTCGCCGCCTTCTTCGCGTCGCCCGTCGAAGTGTTCCCAGGACTCGAACGCCACGGTCTCCTCCGGCCCCCAGCCATCACACCCCCCAGCGTACCGAACCGTTCCGGGGAAGTCTTCGCGCAGCTTCTCCACCTCCTGCGGGGCTACCCCCTGCGAATCCGAAACGAGGAGCACCGCGCGGAGCTCCTGCGGGACTGTCGCTACTTCCACCTGCGCGGCCTGGAGCAGAAGATCATCCCCCACCACATCAGCTTCAATCCAATCCTGGGGCGCGACGAGATCATCATCCGGCTCGAGGACGTGCGCCGGTCCGGTGTCCACCTCGAACAGGGCGCCAATGCCTGCGACAGCAGCTGGGTGCGGTACTCGCGGCCGTTCCTCGATGAGAAGAAGTACGACCTGATCGTCGAAATCGGCGACGAGAGCACCATCCTCGACCTGACGACCAAACACCCTACCTTCCTGAACCTCACCAAATCCCGGGTGACGAGTCTGCTGCAGATCGTGGCGAGCAAGAAGCTCGCGGAGCTGGACGACGTCGCGATCCAGGACGAGCAGATCTGGTTCGTGATGGGCCCCGATACGAGTCTGACGGTGGACGGGGAGCAGACGAGTTACCGGGATGTTGTAGGGTACTCGACCCCAGGCGCCGCAGACAGTTCGTCGCAGGAGACCCCAAACAAGCGGAGAAGGGTGGAGGAGCCCTCCAACAGCCGGGTCTGGGTCGTGCGCAACGGCCAATGGCGGATCTGCGTGCGGCCCAGCGTGAATCAGGGTAGTCTGGACTTTCTTCTGAGGGCGGTCCAGTTGGATGTATATACCCAGGAGACCGTTCGCAATCGGAGTCGACCATTCTTAGGGTCCTCGGCGATTGCATGAGGTACTATGATTATCTGCACTGTACCTATCTGGATGAGGTAGTTAGAGCTCCTATATACATCTAATCAGAGAACCCCGCCCATTCACCCTCGCTGTTGTCTTCGTTTTCGTCATCTTGAGCCTCGTCATTTGAATCCGACTCGTCGGGATCTTGTGCATCACTGTCTTGATGCACTTGATCGTCCTCGACATGGCCATTGGCGCTTTCAGCCTCAGCCACGACCTCATCGTCTCCATCGCGCACAAACCCTGCAATGAAGAAGCCGCCGGTGCCTTCGTCATCCCCAGGCCAACAGCGCAGACAACCCTCCAGCACCTCATCCGAGAGACCGAGATCGCCCACCTCGACTTGAGCAGCACCACCTGCAGCAGGCTTCTCACTCCGCACCCCACGATGCTTCCACTTCCGCATCCCCTCCGGCTGCTCATCCCTCCGCATGATCCTCCACCCGCGTCTCTTCGCCACATCCGACGCCAGGATCCTGGCCACGACCGCCTCGTTCTCCACCATATGCACCGAGCACGTACTATACGAGACCCTCGTCGCCGCCGGGAAGTGCAAGGCATGCTCCACGATCCTCGTCTGTAGATTAGAGAGCTTCTGCAGCCGCTCAGGGCCCATATGCCCATTAGCAGGCAGATCGTTCTCGTCCTCCGCCAGGGCGGCCTCCTCCTCCTCTGCGTCCGGGAGTTTCCTCTCCTCCCGGCCCTCCTCATCATCCTGTCTCCGCTTCCTCTTCTTCCCATGCTGCCTCTCATTCCTTCCATCATTACCACCCACCTCCGGCAAAACTAGCGTCGGCACATCATCTCTCCCCAGAATCCCACTCCCCGAACAACTCGGATCGAGCAGCAAGCCCGTCACGCCCTCGAAGCGCTCCTCCTCCGGATCCAGCGCCAGGAAATCTTGCCCCGGCAACACCGTCACCAAAGCATCCGCCCCCGCCGTGGCCACCATCTTCTGAAGCGTCTTGGCGCGGACCTGCGACTGATCCATAGACCACACCCTCTTCCTCTTCCTCTGCCCCTCCCCAAGGGGATGCTTGCAAAGCAACGAAGCCATATGCGTCGTCTTATTCCCCGGGGCGGCACACCCATCCAACAACTCCCCGCCCTCCCACCTCCCATCCCCGACCAGCAAATACGCCGGAAAACACGACGCCTTATCCTGCAGAATGATCTCCCCGCGCTTATAAGCCGGGGTGACCGTCAAATCCACCCCCTGCGCCACGGCCACCAGATCGGGTACATGCTGATCCAGATAGATCTTTTTACCGGCCGTGAGCGCCGCCTTTTTGGACACGATGCCCCCAAGCTCCACCAGCGACCCCACAACCTCATACCCCTTGAATGTGGTGGCGAGTTGCTCGGCCAGCGTCGTCCGCACGTTGTTGACCCGCACCCAGCGCGGGTAGACTGCTGTCGCAGCAACCGCAGGATCCCCGCCGGCCGCGACGACCTTCTCGCAGCGGATGGCTTCGCGCAGGGCGTCGAGGGTGGCGCATCCGCGGCGCACGCGCGCCTTGGTGAATTCCCCGCGCAGGCGGGCCTTGTGGCGCTCGATCGCCTGGCGGAGCGGGTGGGTGGCTTTGGCGGCGATGCCGGATTTGGCGAGGAGGTGGTCGTGGACGAGGAGGAGGGCGAGGAGGGGGGTTAACTTTTGCAGTGGTGGCGTCAGTTATACTCATCTTGTAAACAGTCGCAGACACTAAGGACACAAAAGCACGCGCGGCAAATTTGCCAAATAATTCATAGCAGGAGAAGGGGTCCTACCTTAGGTTCCAGCTTCAGGATCCCCGCCTTCTCGATAACCTCTTTGAGGAGGAGATCCCATTTGGAGGCTTCGATGATCAGGGCGTAGATCTGCGCGGGCGAGGCCTTGAGGGAGCGGGCGTTGTAGAGGCGGGATTTGAAGGAGCCGCCGGTGGCGGGGCCTGTGAGGATGCCCACCGCGTCGTAGTAGAGGGACATCTCTTTGCTCAGGGGATGATTCGACCATTAAAAATGGAGGGTGCTGGGATGAGGAAGGGCGATGCTGGAGAAATTTTGGTGTTTGCATTGTTTGTTTGGGGTTTGTATACTGGACTTACTCCGCGGCCCATGTAGTTCCTACTTAACCGCAAGGACCTGCTGATTCATTTTTTCTCTTTCCAAATAGATTCTGGTAGTTCAATACACCAGATGCAATTATCATGGTAAAAGACAATCATGAAGAAAAGTCCAGGGAGAACCCCAACCCCAACGCAACCCCCAGCCCAAAATCCGGAGGTGACCGACCTTATCACCTCCGCTCCGCATCTCCGCCCGCACCTGCATCCGACTTAGCAGTTTGCAGACAATTCTCCCGATTACGGGGGGCAGCAGCAGTGAGCACTGACTCACTTCATCCCACTCTCACTCTCACCCTCCTTCACCCTCAAACAAGCCCCTTCCCTTCTCTTCTCTTCAGCATAAAACCCACCAAGTCCGCAACACCCACCTCCACCACCCCAAGCCTCTCCAATCCCCCACCCCGAAAGAAAAAGTCCCAACACCCGCGGCCTCCAGAACTTCTCCTCAACCAACCAAACCACAAACACAAGCAACAATGCCCTCCCAATTCACAACACACCTCCTCCCCCCGCCGTCCCCCAACCAGACCCCAAAATTCACCCTCCCCACCCGCGCCACCCCAAACCCACCGACCAACCCGCGCCTCCTAACGGACGCCCTCACCATCCGCCAGAAAGTCTTCATCGACGAACAGCACTGCAGCGCCGAGGAGGAGATCGACGCCGACGACGGCCGCAGCTGGCATTGGGTGGTTTACCACGACCAGACCCCGGAGTCAACCTCCCCTGCCCCCGCTCGCGCCGGGGCAAACCCCACTGTCCAAGAACCTCCTCAACCAGACGCACCGGAAAGCAGCGATCGCATCCCGGTCGCGACGATCCGGCTCGTTCCGCCGCCGAACGTCCACGAGCATCACAACGGAACGGGGAATGGGGATGGTGCGCCGGCGGAGCAAGCACAACAACAACCCGAACCCTACATCAAGTTGACGCGGGTGGCGGTGCTGCGCGAGTATAGGGGGTACGGGCTGGGGCGGGCGGTGGTGGAGACGGCGTTGGCGTGGGCGAGGGAGCATGCGCGGGAGATTGATGCTGCTGCTGCATCTGCGGCGTTTGCTGCCGCGCAAGAACCAGGAAAGGATGGGGCGGGGGTGGTGGTGGCGCGCCCGTTGTGGAATGGATTGGTGTTGGTGCATGCGCAGACGCAGGTGGAGAAGATGTATGAGCGGTGTGGGTTTGTGACGGACGAGGGGATGGGGAGGTGGGATGAGAATGAGATTGAGCATTTGGGGATGTGGAGGAGGCTTGTTCTGGAGTAGGCATGGAGCGGTTCCTTGCAGAGGGAGTGGTGTGTACAGCGAGAGTTTACGATGGAGTAGGAGTTTGTAGATGTTCCTTTATAAAAGGGTGTGGGGTGTACAGCAAGAGTTTACAACGAAGTAGAAAATAAAATTCTTGGATATTGTTCATTCTTGTTGAGATCTAACTCGTGTGTATTGGAAGGTCGGGTTGATAAACACCGTACCATGAAGCAAGGAAAAAAAGAGATCGCCGCTCGTAACAACATGACGGGGTATCCTAAGCATAAGGAGACAAGCAGATTGAAGACCAACACCTCCGCCTCTTTGACGATCATTAGAAAGGAAGTAAACACCACAAGACAAAAACCAAAGCAACACAAGGTCTTCCGAAACTCCGCACAGTAACACCGAAAAATGGATCCGAAAAGACGACAGCAGAGAAAAGGCATGTTCTAAAACAGGTATGTACGAAGTGAAGTGAAGCGAAGTGGGCGTCGGTCAGCATGGATCATTGTGGAAGCCGACAACCCCTCGTGTATGGGCATGTTCATTAATGCGTGAAGTCGTGGTCGTTTCAGAAAGTGCTCCAGTTCCAGCCGCGAGGGACGCTGGCCGCGATCTCGGTGGATTGACCAGGGACACCGTTCAATGCAGCGGCCTTGAGGCTCTCGACCGGCGAGGGCTTGGTGGCCAGGGAGACAGCGCGGTCGGCTTCGCCAACGGTACCGGTCTGCGCATCGATCTGGGTCTGGATCTTGTTGAGGCGCTCAGTGCGCGATTCCTCCCAGCGCGAATACGCGCTCCAGCAGAGATCGCAGGCACGCGACGGGACACCCTCGGGGTGGAAGCGGGCATTCTGATCGAGAGGGACGACATAGGGGGTGTGGGAGGAGCAGAAGACATGGCCGCAATGGCGACAGTGGTGGCGACGCAGGAAGATGCCGAAGGAAGAGCGACAGGTGGGAGAATCGCAGTTGGGAGAAGCAGAGTCGGCCTGGAGGAAGATCGTTGTTAGCTTAAGTTCGAGCGGATGATGCAGGGGTGCGATGGCGTCATGCCGATCACGCGATGATTCGCAATGGCACGCCTTGCGCGACAGTGCGCCGCAGGCACGCCATAGTGACTTTATAAGACAACCGATCGCCCACCCAGACAGAAAAAGGGGGAGAGATACTCACTTTCCAGTGTTCACGAGTAGGCTGGCCGGTCACCTCGCCAAGGTCTTCTTTCTTCATCCACTCATCCTCAGCCAGCTTGCTGACAGTCGAGCCACTGCTGTAGCTTTCCATGGTGGAGCGACGAGTAGCCGGGACGCCGATCTCGCCCTCAGTCAGGCTGTCCAAGGAGCCGTGGACACTGCGGGGAGGAGAAGGCGGAGAGGCTTTCTGAGTAGCGTGGTCGTTGTTGGGGCGCAAAGCAGCGGGGACATACAGAGGACCCTTCAATGGACGAAGCTGCTTGCTGTGGAGCGGAAGGTACTGCTGCTGAGGCGAGGCCGGGGAGTTGTTGGCGGTGGTATCGGCGGAGCTGATAGGGGTGGGTTGACCGTAGAGGGAGATTTGGTTACCCGCGAGAACGGGAGAAGTGGTAGTGGAGGTAACAACGTGGGTGGCCATTTCGGGGAGCTTATGATATCACCACAAGTTTCGGAAATGTGATTAAGGTTGAGAAGTTGATATGACAGAAGGCGGTGGAGAGGAGAGAAAATGCACGAGATGGATATGAAAACAACAAAAGGCGCTTTCAGGGGTTATCAAGAACCGAGAGGATGGGAGGTAATTAAGTATGGAGAGATCTTGACGGTTTCGGGTGATGGTAATGACAAGGACGGGAGATGATCCAGATGATGATGTTGAGTGATGTTAAGGGTTGGTAGTGAGTTTAGATCGAGCACACGGTTTTCGACAGAGAAGCTGGCTGGAACCAAAGAAGCATCGCAGTGGCAAGCAGGAGACGCGGGTTGATAGAGTTCGCTATGACGAAGGCAATCTGAGGATAAGCGCTGATAGACAGATGCTAAGACGAGACCGGTTGTGGATAAAATTGGGTTTGGTTTGGTGGTGGTGGTGGTGGTAGTAGTAGTAGTAGTAGTAGTAGTAGTAGTAGTAGTGGTATAGAAGTGTAGTAACCAGAGATCAAGTTGATCAAATAAACTTGGAAGGAGGTGGTATTGGTATTATGTATCCAGCACTATCACCAGTGCAGTTGGGAAGTAACACTTCAAATCCGGAGAGCGAAGGGGAGGGGGATAACCCGGATACTAATATAGTTCTGGGTGTTTTGTATTCTGCGGGTTGGAGATGGGAAATTAATTTATTATTAAGGTGGCTCTGTTTGGACGGACGGACTGCGACTGCTCTCTTTCACTGTCTCTTGCTGTGTCTCTCTTGTCTCTCTCTCTCTCTCTCTTTAGTTTAACATTTTGCCATGCCTGCCTTGTGGAGATGCACGCTAGCGGGTGGAAGTACCAAAATAATTTAATTTACCAGGAAAACATAAAATCAAATTAAAATAAATAAATGTAATAAAATAAAATAAATTCAACAGGCGGGTAAGCTAAACGAAAGTCGGCGGCGAGATTACCATTGGGGGAGAAGAGAGTAGAGGGAGGGGAGGGGAGGGATCAGCATCTTTTTGGTGGCTTTTTACTCGATAAAAGGTTGAGGCTAGAAAGTCCCGAAGAAACAGCAGCCGGTGGAGCCGTTGGAGGCGACTCTTTCCCGTCAGAATTACCCTATTCATCATCCACATCGGACTCACCATACTTCGAGTACATACATACATACATACATGCCAATCAATGGCATCAATCCCCAGTCGGATAATATACAGGCGCCTGCAGAAAAGAATATCTGCAAATCTGACGCTGACCACCCCCTCCCGGGGAAGTAGGAAAGGGGAGGGGAGGGGGAGGGGGAGGGAAGAAGACCCAAAGTAAGAATTACCCCCTGAGAGTGATACTGCACCTGATACCAGGTGGACTGTACATCACTGCAGAGGTTGTAACATACCAAACAACCTACTGGCTACACTCTCAGAGGGCTCAGTATGTGCCCTCCCGATCGGAAGCATGCCAACCACACTATTCCTAAACCAGCACGGCTTTTTACCGAGGATGGCCCTGAGATGAAGGGACGGATGGATAGTCAACTAGTCAACCTGGAACTGATCGGATGCAACTGTTACTTGTTCTATCAGCATGAGTATATCCATCCGTCCTTGACTATAATAACATCACTGGCTGACAACTGGTTGTACGGAGTACCTAGTAGTCTTGCACATGTATAGAAGTCCCAAGCACCAAGCAAGGCAGGAGTAGTTAGTAGAAGACTCACAACCAAAGTGACAAAGTACGACGACGACTGGTCCAGATAACCAGCAAGTAGTCTTCTCATTCCTCTGCCATCCGTCGGATCTGAGGAACTGGAAGGGCTCAATCAGGGATGGATGCATCCATTGCCAACCAGTCCTCTTTTTCCGAAGCAGTCAAGTCATGATGACAACCGAATCTAATTCCTTCTTCCCCCTCCTCTCTTTCCCCGTGTGTCCCCCCAGTCTTCTTTCTTGACCGCCTCTTACAATCATCCCATCCCATCCCATCCCCCCCTATCAGCCTCTTGCCCTCTCCCTCTAATTAGTTACTCACATTCTCACGATGAATCATCGATCAAGCCGGTGGTATGAGAATCAAGTATGCATCCCGGTCTTGTGGCAACCAGTTAATCAACCCTGAACCGACAAGCATGATAACTTTCCCCTTCAGGCGATCTCCATGCTCTGCTCCTGTCTATTTCCCCACTCGTCCTCAGATGGATCATGGATGGAAGTGAAGGGGTTCCATCTTTTTTCCATCTCCAAAGTTCAAACCCACCACCAACCCCCC